ACCAAGTAGGTGGCGGTGTGTACCTGTACAACCACTAATACAAGATATATACTGGGCATGCCTGTAACAGCCAGGCCGTCACCAAGTAGGTGGCGGTGTGTACCTGTACAACCACTAATACAAGATATATACTGGGCATGCCTGTAACAGCCAGGCCGTCACCAAGTAGGTGGCGGTGTGTACCTGTACAACCACTAATACAAGATATATACTGGACATGCCTGTAACAGCCAGGCCGTCACCAAGTAGGTGGCGGTGTGTACCTGTACAACCACTAATACAAGATATATACTGGGCATGCCTGTAACAGCCAGGCCGTCACCAAGTAGGTGGCGGTGTGTACCTGTACAACCACTAATACAAGATATATACTGGGCATGCCTGTAACAGCCAGGCCGTCACCAAGTAGGTGGCGGTGTGTACCTGTACAACCACTAATACAAGATATATACTGGACATGCCTGTAACAGCCAGGCCGTCACCAAGTAGGTGGCGGTGTGTACCTGTACAACCACTAATACAAGATATATACTGGGCATGCCTGTAACAGTCAGGCCGTCACCAAGTAGGTGGCGGTGTGTACCTGTACAACCACTAATACAAGATATATACTGGGCATGCCTGTAACAGCCAGGCCGTCACCAAGTAGGTGGTGGTGTGTACCTGTACAACCACTAATACAAGATATATACTGGGCATGCCTGTAACAGCCAGGCCGTCACCAAGTAGGTGGCGGTGTGTACCTGTACAACCACTAATACAAGATATATACTGGGCATGCCTGTAACAGCCAGGCCGTCACCAAGTAGGTGGCGGTGTGTACCTGTACAACCACTAATACAAGATATATACTGGGCATGCCTGTAACAGCCAGGCCGTCACCAAGTAGGTGGCGGTGTGTACCTGTACAACCACTAATACAAGATATATACTGGGCATGCCTGTAACAGTCAGGCCGTCACCAAGTAGGTGGCGGTGTGTACCTGTACAACCACTAATACAAGATATATACTGGGCATGCCTGTAACAGCCAGGCCGTCACCAAGTAGGTGGCGGTGTGTACCTGTACAACCACTAATACAAGATATATACTGGGCATGCCTGTAACAGCCAGGCCGTCACCAAGTAGGTGGCGGTGTGTACCTGTACAACCACTAATACAAGATATATACTGGGCATGCCTGTAACAGCCAGGCCGTCACCAAGTAGGTGGCGGTGTGTACCTGTACAACCACTAATACAAGATATATACTGGGCATGCCTGTAACAGCCAGGCCGTCACCAAGTAGGTGGCGGTGTGTACCTGTACAACCACTAATACAAGATATATACTGGACATGCCTGTAACAGCCAGGCCGTCACCAAGTAGGTGGCGGTGTGTACCTGTACAACCACTAATACAAGATATATACTGGGCATGCCTGTAACAGCCAGGCCGTCACCAAGTAGGTGGCGGTGTGTACCTGTACAACCACTAATACAAGATATATACTGGGCATGCCTGTAACAGCCAGGCCGTCACCAAGTAGGTGGCGGTGTGTACCTGTACAACCACTAATACAAGATATATACTGGGCATGCCTGTAACAGCCAGGCCGTCACCAAGTAGGTGGCGGTGTGTACCTGTACAACCACTAATACAAGATATATACTGGGCATGCCTGTAACAGCCAGGCCGTCACCAAGTAGGTGGCGGTGTGTACCTGTACAACCACTAATACAAGATATATACTGGGCATGCCTGTAACAGCCAGGCCGTCACCAAGTAGGTGGCGGTGTGTACCTGTACAACCACTAATACAAGATATATACTGGACATGCCTGTAACAGCCAGGCCGTCACCAAAGTAGGTGGTGGTGTGTACCTGTACAACCACTAATACAAGATATATACTGGGCATGCCTGTAACAGCCAGGCCGTCACCAAGTAGGTGGCGGTGTGTACCTGTACAACCACTAATACAAGATATATACTGGGCATGCCTGTAACAGCCAGGCCGTCACCAAGTAGGTGGCGGTGTGTACCTGTACAACCACTAATACAAGATATATACTGGGCATGCCTGTAACAGCCAGGCCGTCACCAAGTAGGTGGCGGTGTGTACCTGTACAACCACTAATACAAGATATATACTGGGCATGCCTGTAACAGCCAGGCCGTCACCAAGTAGGTGGCGGTGTGTACCTGTACAACCACTAATACAAGATATATACTGGGCATGCCTGTAACAGCCAGGCCGTCACCAAGTAGGTGGCGGTGTGTACCTGTACAACCACTAATACAAGATATATACTGGGCATGCCTGTAACAGCCAGGCCAGTCACCAAGTAGGTGGCGGTGTGTACCTGTACAACCACTAATACAAGATATATACTGGGCATGCCTGTAACAGCCAGGCCGTCACCAAGTAGGTGGGAGTGTGTACCTGTACAACCACTAATACCAAATATATATATACTGGGCATGCCTGTAACAGCCAGGCCGTCACCAAGTAGGTGGCGGTGTGTACCTGTACAACCACTAATACAAGATATATACTGGGCATGCCTGTAACAGCCAGGCCGTCACCAAGTAGGTGGCGGTGTGTACCTGTACAACCACTAATACAAGATATATACTGGGCATGCCTGTAACAGCCAGGCCGTCACCAAGTAGGTGGCGGTGTGTACCTGTACAACCACTAATACAAGATATATACTGGGCATGCCTGTAACAGCCAGGCCGTCACCAAGTAGGTGGCGGTGTGTACCTGTACAACCACTAATACAAGATATATACTGGGCATGCCTGTAACAGCCAGGCCGTCACCAAGTAGGTGGTGGTGTGTACCTGTACAACCACTAATACAAGATATATACTGGGCATGCCTGTAACAGCCAGGCCGTCACCAAGTAGGTGGCGGTGTGTACCTGTACAACCACTAATACAAGATATATACTGGGCATGCCTGTAACAGCCAGGCCGTCACCAAGTAGGTGGTGGTGTGTACCTGTACAACCACTAATACAAGATATATACTGGGCATGCCTGTAACAGCCAGGCCGTCACCAAGTAGGTGGCGGTGTGTACCTGTACAACCACTAATACAAGATATATACTGGGCATGCCTGTAACAGCCAGGCCGTCACCAAGTAGGTGGCGGTGTGTACCTGTACAACCACTAATACAAGATATATACTGGGCATGCCTGTAACAGCCAGGCCGTCACCAAGTAGGTGGCGGTGTGTACCTGTACAACCGCTAATACAAGATATATACTGGGCATGCCTGTAACAGCCAGGCCGTCACCAAGTAGGTGGCGGTGTGTACCTGTACAACCACTAATACAAGATATATACTGGGCATGCCTGTAACAGCCAGGCCGTCACCAAGTAGGTGGCGGTGTGTACCTGTACAACCACTAATACAAGATATATACTGGACATGCCTGTAACAGCCAGGCCGTCACCAAGTAGGTGGCGGTGTGTACCTGTACAACCACTAATACAAGATATATACTGGGCATGCCTGTAACAGCCAGGCCGTCACCAAGTAGGTGGCGGTGTGTACCTGTACAACCACTAATACAAGATATATACTGGGCATGCCTGTAACAGCCAGGCCGTCACCAAGTAGGTGGCGGTGTGTACCTGTACAACCACTAATACAAGATATATACTGGGCATGCCTGTAACAGCCAGGCCGTCACCAAGTAGGTGGCGGTGTGTACCTGTACAACCACTAATACAAGATATATATGCCTGTAACTGGACATGCCTGTAACAGCCAGGCCGTCACCAAGTAGGTGGCGGTGTGTACCTGTACAACCACTAATACAAGATATATACTGGGCATGCCTGTAACAGCCAGGCCGTCACCAAGTAGGTGGCGGTGTGTACCTGTACAACCACTAATACAAGATATATACTGGGCATGCCTGTAACAGCCAGGCCGTCACCAAGTAGGTGGCGGTGTGTACCTGTACAACCACTTGTATTGAGGAGATGCGTCTCCTCGTCATAAGGGATGCATTTCCGTGTCACAGTAAAACTATCATTTGGCGTTGCCCAATTGTTTTGTGTTTTGAATGGATCCATACCCAAATACATACACAGAGGAATCAGTAGACCTGCCTCCTATTGCCCTAGCACAGTGATCCGTCGAAGATGGCGGAACAGATCAAGTATGCTGTAGATTTTGCTTTAGGTTTCACATACAACAGATGTATACAACACAGCTGTAACATGAAAGTCATCCTTCACAAACCTCCATGAATGAGGTTTACAGAATGGCATCATACGCCCAAAGTTAATTATCCTCACAGTCTAAATATATAACCTGTAAAGGATGTTCTTTTACTGTTTTAACCCGTCAACCATTTGCACTTGGGTCGGCAGTACGACAGACCTCACACTACGACTCTGGCGCAGGCAATCGACGTCCGTCGGTGTACCTAGGCGGATCCAGAGGGGTGGAGGGGTGTGGTTCTACCACGTTCTACACCTTGTATAGTCGTTGTGCTTGTTTGACAACTGTACAATTTATCCATTGACAAGTGGCACATGTTTTCCACAATCCATATCAAACATAACCAAAAGAATATACAATATGAAAATATCAAAATAATTTATTCTTTGAAATATAGAAAATATAAAACATTCCACACGTAAACATGTTTCAAAACTCTATGAGTGATATACATTAAGTTACAATAAATACCTCCCTGGTGGAACAAAAGTAAAAAATATCACAGACATTTGAACTTTCACCAGGGAGTGCACGCATATAAATATTGACATCATATATAACACTAACAGTGAACTGACCGATAGACAACTCTTGGTGGCAGTAGACAAGAGGTTCACAGTCTAGACTACCAGTTGTCAGACTTCCATTTTTGTGGAAGCCGCGGTGGCTGAGCGGTCTAGGCGTCTGACTTTGTGTGCTGGCCATTAGGTGCCTGACTCTGAAGGTGCGGGTTCGAATCCCGAATGGGACTCAACCCCAAAAGTACAAGAATCTGTACTTTGCTGAAAAAGTGTAATCCCAAATATAACATATGTTACATTTGACCACTTTCTAAAATGGCATTGTGTATTTCACAGTATACAAGAATTTCACAATGTAATATAGCAGTTGTTCATCCATATATTGTTATCCTTCCTTACTGCTCCAACGTCTAAATGCCTCTCAAACAAGACACTCATTCATAATGGTCCTTATAATATCTTCCCAGACCGATTCGACATGGAGAAAATCTTCGCTCCTTAGTTTCTAAGGTGGTGAGTTTCACTGTTTTCTGGACGCAAGGGCAACAAGTAGTGCGGCCAACATCAGTAGGGTGATGGTCGATGGTCGCAGGACTCGAGATCCGCTGTTCCGACATGTGCAGTCTAAAATGAACAAAGGGGGGTTCAGATACTGATTTGAAAATCAACGGTACATGAATGTAGTGAAGCAATATGAAGCCAAACCTCTGGCTGCAAGGACATATCGTTGTCGAAGAAAGATAAAGTACAATGTTATAATGACTGAAGAGCCTTGTGCGACACAAAACGATCTTCCGCTAAAAGCGTACCTATTTAATAAATGTTCCATTTTCTACCTTTCATCAATACGAATAGAACACCAGAACGACAGTTCTGGCTCAGTGTCAGTATGTAAAAGGTTATTTCATGCCCACCTGGCTTTACTGGTGGTGACGGTGTGACCTTGACCTCTACACACAACCGACATGCTTTGCGGCAGTTATGGTGCATCCAGCTTGGGTTCATCTCGCAGTGTCCCGTGCTTGCCCACAATCCACACTCTGAGTCGTCGTGAAGGTTATTGCAAGGAACTGAACGAAAACAGCAATATGTCACCAATAATTGTTATACCATGTTTTGACTTGTGATACCCGATAACATAACAACATATTGAAATTTTTTTCACAAATAATTTGTAATGTAATGTATCGAAAGTATTGGCTTTTGATAAAAGCGACGATAACTAGCACTTATGACGTACGTAAGGTTCCTCCATTATCTCTCAATGAAAATGTCAGGCACTGTTTTCCAGTGAACTTCTTGTGTAATTAAATGTGTACCTGTTTGCGTGTATATGTAACGATATGTTGTTATACAACACATTTAAGAAGTATGCTGTGAGACATAATTTCAGAAATATCTTCACCAGAAATGTCATTGGTGTAACAGACAATGGTTACCTTGAGGGCCAATGGTGGGGTGTGTGATGTCGGGGATCACAGGGTCGGGTGTGGACACGGAGTCAGGAACACATTCGTCGCAGGACACGGGACAGTTGGTCAGCATCCAGCCCGGGTTACTCAGGCACTCCCCAGTCTCTGCCCAGGAGGGACACTCAGGATGTGTCTCCACACACTTCACAGCTGAAACACACGCGCATAACATGGTCATAGACACCCGTACATTCACAGCTGAAAAACACAAACACACACGAACACACAGCATGGTCATAGAACCCCATACATTCACAGTTGAAACACACACACACAACATGGACATACAGCCCCATACATTTACAGTTGAAACACACACACACAACATGGTCATAGAACCCCATACATTCACAGCTGAAACACACACACACACATGGTCATAGAACCCCATACATTCACAGTTGAAACACACACACACACACACACAACATGGTCATAGAACCTCATACATTCACAGTTGAAACACACACACACACACACACATGGTCATAGAACCCCATACATTCACAGTTGAAACACACACACACACACACATGGTCATAGAACCTCATACATTCACAGTTGAAACACACACACACAACATGGTCATAGAACCCCATACATTCACAGTTGAAACACACACACACACACATGGTCATAGAACCCCATACATTCACAGTTGAAACACACACACACACACATGGTCATAGAACCCCATACATTCACAGTTGAAACACACACACACACACACACACAACATGGTCATAGAACCTCATACATTCACAGTTGAAACACACACACACACACACACACACACACACAACATGGTCATAGAACCCCATACATTCACAGCTGAAACACACACACACACACACAACATGGTCATAGAACCCCATACATTCACAGTTGAAACACACACACACACACACACACACACACACATGGTCATAGAACCCCATACATTCACAGCTGAAACACACACACACAACATGGACATACAGCCCCATACATTTACAGCTGAAACACACACACACACACACACACACAACATGGTCATAGAACCCCATACATTCACAGTTGAAACACACACACACACACACACACACAACATGGTCATAGAACCCCATACATTCACAGTTGAAACACACACACACACACACACAACATACATTCACAGTTGAAACACACACACACAGAACATGGTCATAGAACATGGTCCCCATACATTCACAGCACAGTTGAAACACACACACACACACACAACATGGTCATAGAACCCCATACATTCACAGTTGAAACACACACACACACAACATGGTCATAGAACCCCATACATTCACAGTTGAAACACACACACACACACACACAACATGGTCATAGAACCCCATACATTCACAGTTGAAACACACACACACACACACACACACACACAAAACATGGTCATAGAACCCCATACATTCACAGTTGAAACACACACACACACACACACATACATTCACACACACACATTGACAGTTGAAACACACACACACACACATGGTCATAGAACCCCATACATTCACAGTTGAAACACACACACACACAACATGGTCATAGAACCCCATACATTCACAGTTGAAACACACACACACACACACACACACACACACACACACACACACACAAAACATGGCCATAGAACCCCATACATTTACAGCTGAAACACACACACACAACATGGTGAAAGAACCTCACACACGTGAATACACATATCTTAGGCAACTGTTATCAGCTGACACATACAAGCATGCACATCCTTACATTATGGACTTATCCGTTGCTCCTAGTTGCGACATGTTCAAGGTAGTACTAAGTGACTATAGACATATTGGTTTACACCACTGTGTGGTGCCTGAAACAGAGGAGCTACTCACGTGTTTTTGTGACCACAGATCCCCCTCCACAGACGCCACACGACTTCTTGCAGTTGAGAAGCATCCAGGAGGGGTTGGCCTGGCACTCCCCGGACAGAGCCCAGTCAACACACTGCTGCTTGTTACTGTGGCCGTCTGTACATGTATCTGGCAATACATAAGTGTAGGACGGTTGGATACTAGCTCGCCAATATCTCGCAAATACTTTCTTAATACTGATGGAATCAGAGATCACGTTAATTATGTATTCATCATGTTGGGATTCTGTAGACCAACTGGGGCAGTGGGGGAGCCTAGTGGTTAAAGCGTTCGCTCGTCACGCCGAAGGTCATAGAACCCCATGAATGAATGAATGAATTTCTGTAAAGTCCATTTCTGGTGTCCACCGCTGTGATATTGCTAGCGTAAAACCCAAATCACATACTCACTGTAAAGCAAGTTGCACTCAGGTCCGTCATTTGAGGTTCACCAGCAGAAGACTAAATAGATGACTTTAGCATTGGATCTCGTCCCATTCTAAACACCCTGACATTGTCATGCAATGTGCGGTATCCTACCGTCAGTTCCGTCAGTGACTGGAGGGGTTTGGTCACATGTCTGACACGACTTGCGGCAGTTGATGAGCATCCAGGCAGGGTTGATCTTACACTCGCCGTCAGCAGCCCACGTGTCGCACTTTACAGAGTCGCTGTGCTTGTTCTCACACTGAGCTGCGGGAAATAAAACAACTCGGTCAGGTACAGCGGGAGTTTTGGGGAGTTTAATTATGTTACGATTACTGGATTATTTCAGAAGAGATGAATGAGTTCAGAATAATACGTTTTCTTACTCTCTTTTCTCTGGCTTTTCGCAACACAGGCGTTGCACGTTTTCCGGCAGTTCAAGGACATCCACCACTCGTTGGCAACACATTCACCATTCTCCTTCCACTTGGCACACTTCTTGGGATGCAGATCTTCACAGCCCACTGGAATCAACATCCATGTTTTTGACGAAGTGTATCTACATTACGCATGTCAGCGACAAAATATGTTTACAGTACATGTCAGTGACGAAATATGTTTACAATACGTAAGTCAGAGACGAAATGTGTTTACAATACGTATGTCAGTGACGAAATATGTTTACAATACGTAAGTCAGTGACGAAAATATGTTACGATACGTATGTCAGTGACGAAATATGTTTACAATACATATGTCAGTGACGAAATATGTTTATAATACGTATGTCAGTGACGAAATATGTTTATAATACATATGTCAGTGACGAAATGTGTTTACAATACGTACGTCAGTGACGATGTGTATTCACAATACTTATTCAATGACAAAATATATTCCCAATACGTTTGTCAGTGACGAAGTGTATTCACAATACCTTTGTCAGTGACGAAGTGTATTCATAATACCTTTGTCAGTGACGAAGTGTATTCATAATACGTATGCCACTGGGGACGTGAATTCACCATACGTATGTTAGTGAGGAAGTGTACTTACAATAACTATCTTGGTGATGAAGTGTATTCACTATATGTATCATATCGACAAAACATATTCACTTAACGTATGTCAATGATGAAGTGTATTCACTATATGTATCACATCGACAAAATATATTCACTTAACGTATGTCAATGATGAAGTGTATTCACTATATGTATCACATCGACAAAATATATTCACTTAACGTATGTCAATGATGAAGTGTATTCACTATATGTATCACATCGACAAAATATATTCACTTTACGTATGTCAATGATGAAGTGTATTCACAGTACGTATGTCTGTGACGAAGTGTGTTTACAATTCGAATGTCAGTGAGGAAGTATATTCACAATTCGTACGTCTGTGACGAAACAGATCAGTATCCAGATCCTGGTCAGTGCCTTGTCAGTGATTGTGTACAGCAGGAAGTATATTATTTTCTGATCTAATCCGCTAGGATTTAAACATTTCCCTGTTTGTTTTCTTGTAGGTTTGTCGAGTCAGAATTGTTCAGTGCAGCCTATCTTGTGCAGTGTGATGAGCTTCTTACCACGTTCAGTGGGCGCCACAGTGTAGCTACAGAGATGGCACGCCTTCCTGCAGGACTTGCTCATGAACTTGCTGTTCCTGTTGCACTGTCCGGAGTTGGCCCATATGGCGCATTGCCAGTCGTCATACGTGTTGCTGCATTCACCTGCAACATGCACTGTGTTGAGTTCCTGTCCACAACAACTACACAGGCGCCTGAATGTGTACTCAAATAGCAGGTTTACCAGTGGGTGAAACTAGAATAATTGTGATTATCAGCTTTTGACTGGTTTCATCAAACCTTTAAGCTTTGTTGACTTAACTTCATCTCGTAATATGATTAAATATGTTTATCGGACAGGAATTGGTGAAATACAACCGGCCTGTATTTGCAATACATCATAGTGATCCACTTGGCAGTTACGTGTTCTTTCCAACAAATTAAGGAATGATGATACACCTGGTAAAATATCAGAAGGACTCCAAACACTTCAGTTTAGTGACAAGTAGATACCACGACTCTTGAGGGCCTGTTACATAATCTTAGCTTAGTCATGAGCCTCACCATTAGTGGCAGGTGCCTGGTAGCCCTCTTCACAGTCACGTGTTCCATCCGGGCACATACAGCGGCAGGTCTCGTCCACGAAGCCGCCATCTTTACACTTGACTGTGTCGGGACAATTTCCTTTAGAACACAGTACGATCACGTTAGCCCACGTTGGGAAATAGGGCACAAAAGATAGATTCATTACAGCTAAAGTAAATCTATGTATGGTTTTTATCCAGTGAGTATTTTTTTAAAGTTGCTTTTTGCACTTTTAACACAGAAGCAGTTGATTTTAGAAGGCTTCATTGTTAATCCTGCAACTTCAGAAGCACTCGCCCTGTTTCTGTTTTACCTGCACAATTGTACATGTTGTTGACTGCCAGGATATCACCGAATGAGAGCTCCTTTAGATAAACCTTCCCAATCTCTTCCTCGCGGCTTCGGTCCTTGGGAAGAATCGTCTTCGTTTTACCATCTCTTGAGAATGCCTGAGGATTGACAAAGATGAGTCATCGAAATAGACAAGAAGGTATATAATAAGAATAATCTACATTTCTGACAAATAAGATAGATCCTTCCTCTGAATAAGATGAAAACGTGTTGTCAAAGCTAGATGTTTTACTGACTTGCCAGTGGGTATTCCTAGTAGTGCGGGTCAGAATGCCAGTTAATTTCAGAAATAGAAATATTGGAAAAGAATTTTATTGAATTCATACATGATGAATTGGAGACTAAAAAACAAGACTTGCAGCAAATACGTAAACAAAAGCTTGATGGGATATTGATTCGATCCAAGGCTAAATGGATTGATGAAGGTGAAACTATAAGTAAATACTTCTGTAATCTAGACAACAAAAACTATATAAGTAAAAATATGAAAGAAATAGAATCGAAATATGGGAAAACATTAACCAAACGGATGATATTATAGAAGAATCAACAAGTTATTACCAAAACCTCTATGCATCTCAAGAACATTTAGTTACAGATATTGAACTCGAATCACTCTTATCTGAACAAGATGTAAAGAAGATTGACAAGACTGAATCAGATCCGATTGAAGGCCCAATAACTAAACAAGAACTCCTTACAGCACTTACAAAATCAACAAATAACAAAAGTCCAGGTTCTGATGGCTTTTCGTATGAATTTTTTAAGATGTTCTGGCTTGACTTGGGAGATTTTCTGTTAAGATCTCTGAATTACAGCTACAACATTGGTGAATTATCTGTGACACAAAAACAAAAATTTATAACTTGTATTCCAAAGGGAGATAAGCCAAGAAATCTTTTATAAAACTGGCGCCCAATTTCACTTTTGAATTCTTCTTATAAGCTATTATCATCAGTTATTGCTGACAGACTAAAAAGAGATCTCCCTAATCTTATAGATGAAGACCAGACGGGATTTATGGCTGGCAGATATATTGGAGATAACATACGTATGATATATGACTTATTACTTTACACAGAATCTAAAAATGTTCCGGGAATGTTATTACTAGTAGATTTTGAGAAGGCATTTGATTCTTTATCATGGTCCTTTATAAATAAGACACTTAAATTTTATGGATTTGGTGATAGTATTTCAAAGTGGGTATCAATCCTATATTATGATATAAAATCTAGTCTTATTATAAATGGAAATATGTCACCTTGGATACAAATTTGTCGTGGCTGCAGACAAGGAGATCCTTTATTCCCCTACATTTTCCTACTATGTGCTGATACTTTATCTGCTCTTATTAAAAAAAATAAACATATAAATGGCATAAAAGTTGATTAAATAGAGTACTTGATTGCACAATATGCAGCTGACACTGAATTCATTCTTGATGGCTCAAAAAAAATCATTTGAAACTGTTATTGATACACTAGACTTATTTGCTAGAATTTCTGGACTGAGGATTAATTATGACAAATCACAGGTTGTTTGGATAGGTTCAAAAAACCATTGCCAAGTTAAATATAGACCAGATCTGGCCCTTGATTGGAATCCTGAAACGTTTAGAATTCTAGGTATTATTTTCTCAGTTGACTACGATAAGATGATAAGACTAAATTTTGCTTGTAAAATATATGAAATTGAACAAATAATTAAACAATTGATGAAAAAACTATTACTCCATTAGGGAAAATAGCTATTATTAAGTCATTATTAATTTCAAAGCTAAATTTCCTTTTTCTTACACTACCTAATCCACCAGGGGACTTTCTTAAAAAACTAAACAGCATTCGTTTTAGCTTCCTTTGGGACAACAAGCCAGATAGGATTAAAAGAACTGTTGCTTGCAAACCTGTTGTAGAAGGAGGATTAGGAATGATTAATATATTTGCTTATGTTGATGCACTTAAATTGACATGGATTAGGAAATTGATTAATAATGATTATGACAAACTGTGGAAACACCTGCTACTTACTACTGTTCCAAATTCTCACAATTTGACACGTTTTGGAAATGATTATCCACTGATGTTAGGAAATTGTTACTCCTAATAATATTATGTTTTTGAAAGATAGCATGGCAGCTTTTGCTAAATATAGCAGTAACCATAGACTAGCAACGTATGAAGAGTTTCTACGAGAAGCATTCCTGTATAATAAGAACATAACTATGAAAAAAACATTACTAATATTGGCTGCTTGTTGAACGCAGATGGAGACTTTAAATCTCTTCAAGAGTTTTGTGATAAGTTTTTCGAGATTAGTTTTTTGCATTTTCAAGGTTTATTAAGATCTGACAATATTTATTTAAAAAGATTGAAATTGGATAAAGGTAATTTTATAGAGGGAGATAGATCACAGAATGTATGTATTACACAGTTGCTTTCGTGTCGTGTAAAAGAGGTTCGAAACAATATTATTATGTTATGACACAGACTGAAGAAAATCTAAAGATAATTGAAAAATGGGAAGAGGAAATATTAGTAAGACAGAACTGGTCAAACATATTTATCAAAGCATTTAAAACTACATCTGATCCAAAGTTAAGATGGATGCAATACAGGCTACTACATAGAATTGTACCAGTCAATACATACTTAATCAGGGTGAATATTGTTAATAGCAATCTATGTACATTTTGTAAGGCAGAGCCGGAATCAATACTACATCCACTTTGGGGGGATGTAGAGAAAGTGAATCTTTTTGGAGGAATCTCTCTCAATGGATTATGCTGAAATGTTCACATGCTAACATAAGTATATTCCATTGTGATCTAGTGTTATTTGGTATTTCTGAATCCTTCTACAGTGATATTATATTTGACTTGATAATTCTATTACTAAATTTCATATCTATAAATGTAAACTTACAAATCGAATACCGCATTTATACGTTTTTAAATAGGAATTGAACTATTACCATAACGTAGACAGAATCAGATATTATAACAAAGGAAGGTTTCAGGAATACCATAACAAATGGAAACAGTATGAAAATCTTTTCAGTAGCACACATTGACAATACGAATTTATTTATTTTCTGTTTTTGTTTGTTTGTTTTGGGGGTGGGTGGGGGTTTTCTGTATGGATGTGAGAGCGAATGTTGCATCTATGTGTTAAAAAATAACAAAAAAAAGTCGGTGAGTCCAGTCTCTGTATATATATTGTATACATTTATACATATATTGTATACTGCTTCTCCGAGAATAAAAATTTAAAAAATTAAAAAAAAGTAGTGCGGGTCAGCTCCTTACAACCTATTGTGTTTGTCTTCGAACTGAGAATGTACGATTGTACCATACAGCTTTGTAGAGATACAGTTTCAAGTCCAGTGTGTAGATAGACAACTGTAATGGGTGGCTGGTTGCTGTTATTGTTTAAGGGCCACGTGGGCCAACATGGTACCTACTTGCGCCCAACATATTGGCTAACAATATATATATGAATAACAACAATATATATATGAATAACAACTAATCATGTCGCCAAAAAACAAACAAATGAAATCGTAGATAGAAGACAGCTACATGTAATTTACAGTATTTGGGCACAAGTATTCGTTAAAAATCAATGATGGGAATCAGAAACGGAAGAATGATAACCTTTGTTTCCTGCCATGTATTAATACCCTCAGCAGACACTTTAATTTCTGCTTGATGACAAACTAATTCAATTTTTTAAAAAGCAGTATATCAACATCATATTTTGCAGATAAAGATAGAAAATCTACACCGCCCGCTCTTTGCGCGGAGCCATACATGATGTTTAGGCCCATAACAACCGTTCAGAAAATGTGTCATCAACTTCAAGCACAGACATGTTGAGGTTTTATGTTATTATACCCAGGTCATTTGAATAGATAGTGTTCCACATTTTCAGGCGTTTCCAAATTGCAGTGGGCAAATTCAGAAGAGACCGCATTATCAATGAAACTCCTGTCAGTATTTAGCCCAGTATCGAAGTCGGTGTTGTATCAGAATGGTCATGGGCGCGACACTGATAGTTGTCTCCCTTGAAACTGCTCAAAGCATATTTCTTCCCCTAAGCCATTGTCTGTGCACTCACCGTGACGCCGTAGTGCATGACGGAGGAGTACTCGTATGTGGTGTTGAAGACGCCAGTTTTCTTGGTGCTCTTTGTGAAGCTGTACTGGAGTTGCGGGGCGACGTACTGCAGGAAGATGTCCACGTAGTAGTCCCTGTCGGGACGCTGGTGCTCGTGAATCAGACCGATTGCATGGGCGATCTCGTGCAGGTACAATCCTCTCTGTCAACAAAGACGTCAAGGTTAGGGGAAGCTCTTAACAAAGCAGTGTAATTATAAGTTACTTGTTCAACATCTCATGCATTGGGGCACGTCGATTGTGCAACTTTGACTCAACATTTTGATAATTTACTTGAGTGAAAAGCATGGAAGTATACATGCTTCGTGCTAAGAATTATGTCTTGATCTGTTCACAGTAGTAGCTCGGTTCTCCCCATTGCCTTTGACGGTCACTATGGTGTGTTGGACTGGGGTTGGGGTGGGGGTGGAGGGTTGCCTGTCATTACAACAACACACATGAAGACGTGTGTGTGGCGGAACTGGAGTACTCAACTCTTAACAGAAGACAAACCAAGTTTTAGATAGTATATGGCGACAAGAATGTACACCCCAAGGACGAGTGCTATCTTTGGCAGTTCGCAGTCAGCGTAAGAAATGCGTTGTAAGCGACACTTACGAATCTACATCCGGGTGCCTGCAACATGAGCATCTGCCTTCCCCCGACCATACCCAGCTGGGAGCTGCATCTGTAGCACACGGGATTCACATTTGCTGAATAACATTGATCACGACAGGAAATTGACAATTAACTGGTATGTTAACTCGCAGCAAGACCGACTGTACACATCAGAGCCTAGATTTTCGAAGCTCTCTTAGCGCTAAGATAGTCGTAAGTAACATATACATTAACAGTAACTTACGACTATCATAGCGCTGAGAGAGCTTCGAAAATCTAGGCCCAGGTACTTAGGTTTTAGAAGAGTCCAAGGGATTTGAACGTGTAGCTTAATGTGACGGCATTAACTGTAACGGCATCGGCTGTGATGACGTTGTACTCACGAGTCTCCGTTAACGAAATCCACGACGTTGGGGTGAGAAGGTGTGGCTTCCACGAAGTTGAGACACGTGTACCTCTCCCACTCCGTCATAGCTTCCTTGATCATCACCGTCTCTTTAGCATCTACACATAAACCCGTCCACATTTCAAAACCGCTGGGTCACATGCTCAATATGTTCATATGCGTTTCCAAAGGGAACATTGAACCCTGTAAGATGTCCAAGCTACAGCGGTGTAGTGGAAACAGTGACATGTATCGAGGTAATTCGTGTCAGCTAATGATCTCATCGATAACTATCAATCATATATTTTGCTCCAATCTAGGTACAATATTAAATTCTAGACATGTGCAGTAATAACTTAAAAAAACTTGACTCAAATATAAAACTCAACCTACTGAAGGTATTTTCCGCGAAGGCGTATGGGATCTCTCCATGCAACCATCTAAGCACGGGGTCAGTCGTCGCCTTCCGCTTGGAGCGTCCTCCAGAACCATCTCCTTGACCATTGCTGTGAAAACAGTTGAGGTACACATCACTTATAGCGACTACATGAGATCTTCTGGATCAGCTCAAATAAGTCTCCTCACAGTTCAGTGTAGTTGTACACACGACTCTCACACTACAGTGTTGTTTGTGGTTTGGCGATTACATATCAAAAAGTGTGTGTACCTGTTTGTGTTGTAGAACGCCGCATACTGCTCTGGAGTGAGACGCAGATCTAATTCCGCGAGAATCAAGCCACCAGCGTCCATCATTTTATTTCCAAGACCTGAAATAGACACAACACTGCTGGTACGTGCACACCCTAGCGAGAAGCCTGTATGAAAATGTTCATACAGATTACAGTGTAGTGGAGACGATGGTCGTACACTCTACCACTCCGCAGTGACAGCAACTAAACGTATTATGTTATCCAGAACATTCGATATCGTAGCATAACTTGTTATCATATCATTATCATAATCATACTACAGGACATATCACATATACTATATACTATAGTCAGGAGGGAGGATTGTTGAGGACAAGGTCGGGGTACCTGAAATACCCCCGAGTTGCTGGGTGATTATCTGGTCCATCGTCAGATTTGTCTCTGGATCACGTGATCTGAACCCGCTCCCAGGAAGGGGTAGCTTCCTCTTGGGTATCCCTCCAGGTCTCGGGTTAGGCCGCGCCAAGGTGAGCGCCACACAGCAGATCTAAACAGACATTGATATTGACGCCATTAAACAGCAGTGACAAACATACAAGGACAGTTGGATGACATCACAGATTTATGTCGGTGAGTGAGGTGGGTTAAACGCCCCTTTGAACAGTATTCCAGTTAAATACTTGATGAGGGAGGAAAGCCCGACGTGATGCTGGTCTGTGACAGTTACCATTTTGCTGAAACCAGCAGGTATATGGTGTAGGTTGCTATGTGGGTATCGTACATACAGACATACATGACAGTATGTGTGTAAGACTGAGCTGCTAGCAGTGTTCCAGCCGCCTCTCTACCAGGCACACCAGTAATGGATGCAGTTTGTTTTACAAAACAACCTTAGAGTTAAGATGACCTTATCTCTTTAAGTTTAACCTCAGGCTTTTGCTAATGTTGCACGAATCTACTTTACGCTAACGTAGCCTTAGTTAAGGTGAAAATATAAGGTTTGTTCGACCCAACCTTAGTGTGGCTAAGCTTGACGTTTCAAATAATTTTAACATGGCTACATTCTGGTGAATTCCCCACATGGGTACAATGTGTGAAGCCCATTTCTGGTGTCCTCCGCCGTGATATTGCTGGAACATTGCTAAAAGCGGCGTAAAACTAAACTCACTCACCCACTCACTCACTCACTCACTACTCACTGGTAGAAGCGTTATTTGATATATGTTTTGAAGTGTGAAAATCGGATAATAACTTGGAGGGTTAATTTTGTGATTTGAGGGTTGGTTTATAAAAATAACATATTAGTGGTCACCACAACACATGGTAATTCTGAAACGTCTCCGATAAAATTACATCACGTATGTTTCACACTTAGCTGCGACAAATACATCTGATTCCCCCATACAATTATAGTATGAAAAAACAAAAGGTCTTTGTCACCAAACCAAGTGTCTAGATAAGTCAAACGAAATATATTGGATGTGAAAACGAACGCCGTGCTTGATGGAAACGAAATCCGTAACCAAAGAAAAATTCGTTTACTTAAATGTTCATACATCCATATCTACATTTAGCCTTGTTCAATATCATATCATACAAGGACACAGACAATACAGTTTTGTTTGTTTGAACAACATTTACACAAGAAATTGCCACATTTAGGGTAGTGCCCGACATTGTTGACCCCTACACAAGTGTCAGAAGATGAAACGTAGGCATTACTGCAACATGTACTTTAGTCATCACGATGTACAATGTTCAATATCAATTGTAATTTCATATGAATAGGTTAATTTAACCTTCTAAATAAATTGACAATCTTAATAAAAATGATTGATATATGTTATGAACTGAACAAGCACACTTTTTGAAAGGAGTTGTTCAAGCAATTACTGAATCCGTTTTGGACAAACAATGGATTCATTCTCATTGTTAAACAAATATTGTGATGGTTGTAACTGTAGCTATATTTCTACAAGAACTGTAATAAATGAAATAAGTCATATCCTTAAACATGTATTAGTGTATTTTGAAATAATATTTTTCATTTACGTTAATTTGATGCCAAACAGGTGCGAGTATTGTCCACATTCAGATACACAGTCAAACCATTAATTTGTATTCGAGCGGGGAGATAAATCACAACCGTGACTACGGACATGATGTTGTTTTGACTCACCAGAGGCTATAAGACATTGTGGATTGAAGGCATATAGAAGTATTTTATATGAGGACAGTGGTGGATCCAGAAGGGGGTTCGAACACACACACACACACACACACACACACACACACACACACACACACACACACACACACACCCCACCCCACCCCACCCCACCCCTTTAAAAATTTCTGGATCCGCCTTTGGAGGGCATCTCTCCTCAATGTCAATGCTGTTACAACCATATTACACTGCCCAGAAACAGTTCATCACTATGTCATTGAACGTCCAGCTCATGAAAAACCACTCCATGCTCTTAAAGAAACTGTGCTTAACAAAACCAAAAACACAATACTTGGCGATAAGTTAATGTATGGTTGCACACAAAGAGCTGTGTTAGACTTTCTCGTTAAAACGGGGAAGTATGGCATAATTTAACTGAACATAAATATATATTGTTAAGTGTTGGGCGCATATAGGCCTTTTAAGGCAGAAGGTCGCCCTAAACCTTACCTACCATGATTGAGTCACCTTAGTTAAGGTTGGGCGTAACATTTGTTGAGCTTACTTTAAGGTTAAGCTAAGACACTAAGTTTAGCTATAGCTATGTCAGGGAGGAAATACATTAACAAGGACACGGGTTAAACACAGTCGCATACATCGTTCTTAGATAGATATCGTATAACTTACATTTTTCACATGCCTGAATAAATATCAATAGCTGGATAGATACATGGATCCTGAGATAGATACATGGATCCTGAGATAGATACATGGATCTTGAGATAGATACATGGATCCTGAGATAGATACATGGATCCTGAGATAGATACATGGATCCTGAGATAGATACATGGATCCTGAGATAGATACATGGATCCTGAGATAGATACATGGATCCTGAGATAGATGCATGGATCCTGAGATAGATACATGGATCCTGAGATAGATACATGGATCCTGAGATAGATACATGGATCCTGAGATAGATACATGGATCCTGAGATAGATCAACTTACCAATAAACCAATAACTCTGATCATGGCAGAATCCGTCTTGGTCATCAGTTGATAATTGAATAAATATCAACACGTAATGTAAAATATACAATGAATAATTAGCCACGGCTAGATTCGTCAGTTGTCGGAGTTCAGTATTCACTGACACGACTAGTTCAGTCAGGTTTTATATTACCCGAGCACGGAAATGGGAGCAACGGTGCCATGATGACTGTTAGTCAGAACCTCCGGAAGTATTCGCTAGAAGCGACCCGGAACATATATAGTCGCAGTGCGTGTCACTCAAGTTAATTCTATCAATGAATGAAGTGGCCTGGTGAGCTACGGCTCAGTACACTGCTGAAAGGTCAACATAATGCGATGTGCGTCCATTCATTTCTGATGACCCCTGTCAGAAACAATCACCTACAATGTCTGATTGTCCTGACCGGTGAAATGGTGGTCAGTCCGTGATCCACAGTTATATTTAAAGATGCCCTGATTGTTCTGATACACGATGTATACACCATGTTAGCTACGAATATTCACGGTTGTATAATTAACTGAGCTGGGCGATGTGAACTCTCTGGCACCACTCTGGCCGCGTTACTACTAATTGTTTACTCGTTAAGCATGTCCCTTGTTCCAAAATTTGACCCTTTAGGTCTAAACATGATTGGGATAAAGTGTAGGAGCTAGACGTGTTTAGAATCTAAATGAGGTAAAGGTAACCCTCCCTTGAAATGCATTGTAGGTAATTTTAAAGGATGGCCTCTGTGTAAGATTTCTTAAGGTTTAATTGGGATATACTAGCATGGGGAGGGTGGATTTGGGTTTGGGATGGGGGTAAGTAAAGAAGTGATGGTCTACTGCAGTAATCAGATATGCTGTTTCTAATAACACCCACCACCCCGGAGCATCACGAAACAACAACCGGATAGTGTAGGTTGTATGTGCTGCTGGCGATATATTTTAGTGACTTAGCAGTGAATATGATTATCATGTCTGCGTGTCTTATCAGGCGGCATGTGTACATTTCTCGGCCAACATGCCTGAACGTAAATACAATATTTTCATGTCAAGATGCACGATCTTCCATATCCGTTTATTCGTTCACATTATCCAAATAAACCTGCTCTTCACTGTGATTCAGAAATATATCAGGATGAGAACCATGTCATTCTGTTGACTGTCAACATGACGAAACCAGTTCTGAGCATACTGATTCATCCGTATATAGTAAGGTTAGAGGGAGCAGGTCTTCAGACTGTCGTATCACATCCTCATCGTGTGTGAACAGCTGTCACCTTACATGAATCACTACATCTGTCTCATCACGATTCTCACCAACCCTTTCAGTTAGTCGCTATGGCGTTGGACGTAGTAGGAACTATAAGTAGTAGTAGTAGTAGTAGTAGTAGTAGTAGTAGTAGTAGTAGTAGTGGTAGTAGTAGCAGTAGTAGTAGTAGTAGTAGTAGTAGTAGTAGTAGTAGTAGTAGTAGTAGTAGTAGTAGTAGTAGTAGTTTCCGGGGTTAAAAAATACTAAGGAGATGATATAGTTATATTCAGAATGTGTGATTCCGACAGAAGAGTTGTCATTTAAGCCAACAGGATAGTTGGCTATGCACAGTGGACTTTGTTGATCTAAAGTCCATGTCTAGTCCAAGTTCAAGCTCACTGTGCATCAAGACAAAAACAAAAGAGTTCTTCGTCCATTGCAATCTGTTCACATCGCGCTGCCATGGCTCTTTCATATAGCAGCTATCACGGCCTGTTTCCACCTCTCAGGCTGTATCTTATACTCGTCTTTGATTGCGGTCTCCCACATGGGCCATGCACATGGCATCAGATATAAGTCCACGCGGTGTGCAACATGGGCCATGCACAGGACATGAGATATAACTCCATGTGGTGTGCAACAGGGACCATGTCCATGGCATCAGGTATAACTCCAATTGAGACCCAGAAACTGTGGTCGACCAACAGCATTCATAAGTCTCGTCGATAGGACCAGTTAAGTTGGAAGTGTCCGTTTGGAGTCCTCTCCATTGTGTCACCTGTCGGCATGATACCAACATGCTTGATTGACGTGGCTGTACGTATAGGATGCCCAGTATTGTCAGTATCGGAAGAGAGCATGAATCTCCACTGTTTACTGTAATCCTCAGCGATATTCAAAAGAGCCAACTTGATGAACTTGACGACAGCGTCAATACCACTTTGAGTTGGACATCCAGTGTCGAATCCATGACCTTGCACACTGGTTTTCAGTCCACAGTCTTATCCACTGTCTGGTTTCTATAAACAAGAGCACATCCCCTTGGAGTATTCTTTATTGCAATGTATGCCCTTAAAAGGCCTTGGAATGGCGCTCTCCATGTCCTGCTACCGTTTGTAAGTAACGATCTACAGTTTGTCATTCACGCCATCTTTATACAGGTTCTATCTTAGACCATCAACTGTCTAGGAAACGTAGACTACTCTGTTCGGATTTTGTTGAAACACAAAACGAGAAAGAAATAAGTTTGGTCTAAACGTAGATGGCTCGAGCTCATTCCTGTACTAGGGTATTATAGAGGTAGAGGTATAATATTCATGAGGTTCAATCCATGTCAAGGACGTGTGGAATAAGCAAATAACTAAAAGTCATGGACTAGTAAGATTAACATATGAGCTAAAGTCATGGACTTGTAAGATTAGCAAATGCGCTTAAGTCATGGACTTGTAGGATTAGCAATGAGCTAGTACCATGGACTAGTAGAATTAGCAATGAGCTAGTACCATGGACTAGTAGAATTAGCAATGAGCTAGTACCATGGACTAGTAGAATTAGCAATGAGCTAGTACCATGGACTAGTAGAATTAGCAATGAGCTAGTACCATGGAATAGTAGAATTAGCAATGAGCTAGTACCATGGAATAGTAGAATTAGCAATGAGCTAGTACCATGGACTAGTAGAATTAGCAATGAGCTAGTACCATGGAATAGTAGAATTAGCAATGAGCTAGTACCATGGAATAGTAGAATTAGCAATGAGCTAGTACCATGGAATAGTAGAATTAGCAATGAGCTAGTACCATGGACTAGTAGAATTAGCAATGAGCTAGTACCATGGAATAGTAGAATTAGCAATGAGCTAGTACCATGGAATAGTAGAATTAGCAATGAGCTAGTGCCATGGAATAGTAGAATTAGCAATGAGCTAGTACCATGGAATAGTAGAATTAGCAATGAGCTAGTACCATGGAATAGTAGAATTAGCAATGAGCTAGTACCATGGATAAATAGAATTAGCAATGAGCTAGTACCATGGAATAGTAGAATTAGCAATGAGCTAGTACCATGGAATAGTAGAATAAGCAATGAGCTAGTACCATGGAATAGTAGAATTAGCAATGAGCTAGTACCATGGATAAATAGAATTAGCAATGAGCTAGTACCATGGACTAGTAGAATAAGCAATGAGATAGTACCATGGAATAGTAGAATTAGCAATGAGCTAGTACCATGGAATAGTAGAATTAGCAATGAGCTAGTACCATGGATAAATAGAATTAGCAATGAGCTAGTACCATGGATAAAAAGGATTAGCAATGAGCTAGTACCATGGATAAATAGAATTAGCAATGAGCTAGTGCCATGGATAAAAAGGATTAGCAATGAGCTAGTGCCATGGATAAAAAAGATTAGCAATGAGCTAGTACCATGGATAAATAGAATTAGCAATGAGCTAGTGCCATGGATAAAAAGGATTAGCAATGAGCTAGTGACATGGATTAGCAATGAGCTAGTGCCATGGACTAGTAGAATTAGCAATGAGCTAGTGACATTAACTAGTAGAACTAGCAATGAGCTAGTACCATGGACTAGTAGAATTAGCAATGAGCTAGTACCATGGACTAGTAGAACTAGCAATGAGCTAGTACCATGGAATAGTAGAATTAGCAATGAGCTAGTGACATTAACTAGTAGAACTAGCAATGAGCTAGTACCATGGACTAGTAGAACTAGCAATGAGCTAGTACCATGGACTAGTAGAATTAGCAATGAGCTAGTGCCATGGACTAGTAGGATTAGTAAATAAGCCAGTGTCATGGTCTGGTAGGATTTGCAATGAGTTGGGCATGGACAGCTAGCAATGTTAATCATGGACTATTAGGTCTGGCATTATAGCATTATGGAAGTGATAGGTTTCCTTGAATTAAGATTGTGTCATACATTTGCTTTACTGAATACTAGTTGGATGTCATCGGTCGCTGGGTCATTGCGTGCACTCGGTGGTTACTAGCTGAACCAGATGTAAACATGATAGCCATTGACATGCGTCACGACTGTGGTCATTCATGACAACCATCCGTGTTAAAACACTGAGTCACAACCCCTTCCCGGGGATCTTCTGCAAAGTTTCAATATGATGTCATGCTTTCGGTATCCTCTTCGTCCCATGTGCTAAACAAGGCAAACATGGTCATTGATAAGTCACATTTACCTTGAAAACACAGAATACTTACAATATATACGCCACTGACGTGAAGATGAAAATTACTTCATAAAATATGAGACGCCCCCTACGAAATTTACACGAAAGTGTAAAATGCGTAAATCCTGTTTCCTCTGTCAATGGGTTATTGGAGCGAGAGGTCCCATCAGTGACCGGGAGGTGTTAGTAATTGTACACCTTGGAAGATATCAAGTTCTCGCACTAAAAGTTGATTCAAAAATCCAAAGTGAACGCAATGACACCTTGAGAGTGGAGAGCACTGGCACTGGCAGACCTGCTGGGTTAAAACCCATGGCTGCTGAATATTCATATCTACTACAGGGGGCAATACCTATACTAAATGAAACACAGGGATTGTGAATATTTCGGGAGATATGTTATTAAATCAGACTTCGTGACAAAAGGTTTTCAAACATTTGTGCATGATTCATAATGAAAATTGTTCCATATACATTATAGATATGTTCTACACGTCAGCCTTGCATGCAGCAATCTCAAGTCGAGGGCAAACGTTATGGCTTCCAGTTTGAACTGTAAATTCCATTCACAGTCTGAAGGAACAGTATTTCCTCGAATGGCAAAATTACATTGCATCGCGTACACTACTATTTCATTCGTAAATGAATTTTCTAAACATGGCAAAACAATAATTTCTTATTGAGCGATCCAAACACAGATGGCAATGTTAGTCAAAGATGTTCATAATTATTCTATGTCGACAAAAAAATTAACCAACTCATCCCTTTTGTCACCTGGTATATTTGTTATTCGTGAAACTATTGACTGCATGTAGCTATCCATTTGTAAGGAAAGGATGAGTGGGATCCTGAGCTTTTTAACAAGGCCTATTGATTATCGGAGCATATATGTGAATGAAAGAAAAACACGTACATATGAACAACCATTATTCTTCACACGGCCCTATCTTGACATGTAAGGGTAGAAGACAGGAGAATACATTTGCCAACACATACACAAGGAGGTGAGGTATTCTGACTGGCAGTATATACCTTATTGGTCGAATGTGTTAATGTCTTGATTTGGTGATTGTAGTTGGAAGCTTTCAATTCCTATTGATGTTAGCAGATACAGTTCACCCCAGTCATACAATTTAATAGCAGTACACATAATGAATATAGCTGATATTGGTAATATTCCTTAAAACCAGGTTGAGCTCAGGGTGAAGGTCTTTCAAAAAGCTTTCATACACGTTTGTGATTCAGAACTATGTAAGACATGAATCATCACTGTGTTATTAGAGGATGTAACTGAATTACTTTATCAATATTTAAGCAAATCGGAAATACTACAAATAGTAGTGATGCATTACTATATCAGCTAGTAGGACAATACATCAATCCCATTATTAGCAAAAAAATAATATATCGGTACGTAGTCCAACTATTACCAATCTGACCGGCAGTGATTGGTTACTACAACAGTAAACAGACCAACCAGAAATAACCTGAACAGTAGTAATTGGTTACAATATCAGTTTGTAGGCCAACCAGAAATAACCTGAACGGTTACAATATCAGTTTGTAGGCCAACCAGAATTAATGTTATTTGTACAGAACAGAAATAATCGTTTTTGTAATCCATCCAATTCAGGTTGAATGTAGGAATTTACCCGGCAGCGATTTTCCACTTCACTGGAGGGATCTTCAGAAAGTCTTCACAGTCAATAAAAGAGCGTGGCATACCTGTCGGCTGGTTTGGAACAAATCTCGACATTTCCGTGAACCAGAAGCTGACACCGTACACAAGCATTTTGGTTGTTGTTGTTTGTTTTGTTGTTTGTTGGGTGTGTGTGTGTGTGTGAGTGTGTGTGTGTGTGTGTGTGTGTGTGTGTGTGTGTGTGTGTGTGTGTGTGTGTGTGTTAAATTGATGAAAACGTCCCCACTCGACATCGCCGATGTACTCAAGCAAGTCACTGTATATTTCAATCATTTATGAATTATTATAAACCATTACATCATATGAAAACTGTCACACATCTTCAACCACCACTATACGTTTTCTGCGTATCACAAACACTACAAGATATATATTGAGTATTCAAAACGTTGTGTGATCATTCACATTAATTTTATCATCTTGTACATAGCTATATATGGACCAGAATGTTGGATGGCTTAAATATTCACTATTGATGAGAGCGGCGTTAAACAATAAACAAACAAACAAACAACATCTTAGTACCTAATTTCATTTAGTCACCAGTTGATTGAAAGTGATGACGATGGGGGACTGCCCTTCATGTGTCGACTTCATCCCAATCGTTGTCTGTGTAGAACTAGGAATTCACACACTGCTACATTGATTTCCATCAAATATGGACCCGTGAAGGTCCGGGTAGAATAAGTCTTCAGCAACCCATGCTTGCCACAAAAGGCGACTTTGCTTGTCGTAAGAGGCAACTAACGGGATCGGGTGGTCAGCCTCGCTGACTTGGTTGACACATGTCATCGTATCCCAGTTGCCTAGATTGATGCTCATGCTGTTGATCACTGGATTGTCTGGTCCAGACTCCATTATTTAAAGACCGCCACCATATAGCTGGAATATTGCTGAGTGCGGCGTAAAACTAAACTCACTCACTCACTCATTCCATCAATTATGAATTTCCGGATTCGATTGGTTTGACTGAGAGACTGGTATATGGTCTCTGCCACACTCTGATTTGTCAGGGCTGCCAAAAGGCCCGATCCTTGTGTAATAGTTCGTAATCATTTTTTATAAACACACTTGAACTCTCTGAACTACAAGTGATTCCTTGACATTTAACTTCCCGAGAAAGGATTTGTTGGAGTTTATGTTTCTATGAATCAATTTACGCCATTCTAAAAGTTAACAATTTGCACACTGGGGGTTTGTGTTAATGCCAGGGGCGGATAAAAGCTTTTTGAGAAAGGGGGGGTGCACACTATTGAGAAAAGGAGGGGTGCACACTTCATTTTCACCCGAGTTCCAATGGTCAATTAACAAACTTTCAGCACAAAAGGGGGGGTGCGCACCCCTGCACCCATGGGCGGATCCAGGATTTTTGAAAGAGGGGTCAGGGGTTCGAACCCCTGAACCCCCATTGGCTCGGCCAACGCAAAAAAATCTTCAATGTGGTCTTAAGTCATTTTCAAAAGGGGGGTTCGAACCCCCTGAACCCCCCCTCTGGATCCGCCAATGCCTGCACGCACGCACACACACACACACACACACACACACACACACACACACACACACACCCTCTGGATCCGCCTATGAATGCTTTGATAAAACACAATATACATGTTGTCGTTGTTCCAAAGTTCTATGGATGATTCGGTGTACATTTTATTTAACCTCACACGGATTCTGACTGTGATACCAGCATCTCTGACTACTCCCTAGAAACGATTCTCATGTTGATTTGTCGCTACACAAGGACAAGTCGGTAGGGAGAAGGCCACAGACATGATCACCGCCGAGGTTCCTGTTATATCTGAGGCAATGCTAGGCGCGTCATGTCCCGTCGCTAGTGACCGATATACTGACATTGCCCAATGTCCGGATAGCTGTACGCAAACATTTCCTGGAAAGGACTCCGTGACGATATGAGTACTAGTACGTACTGGTCTGCACGAAATTCAACAGATCTTGTGGTCCGATACTAGATAATCGCTTTATTTTACCATTCCAAAACAAACAATTCTTATGCTAGCCATAATATACTTACTCACTCACTCACTCACTCACTCACTCCTCCGTCGAATAATTGTAATATATCGCGAATCTTGATTCTTTTATATTCGTATTAGCTTTTCAATAATCATATTTCGTTGTGAGATCCTACTTTTCGATCCCTTTGCATCAAAATGGCTGACACGTTGCAGTCTGCTAGCCGTCAAAAGCTAATCAGAGAGAGACTGTCACAATGGGAAGCAAAGACAAATCCGAAAGCTCCACTAACAACGAAGCAAAAAGATGCCGTTATTGAATTAACGTCGTTTGTAACAGAACGGCCTCTTCCACAAGGAGTAAGCATAACACTTCCTTATCGTATGTCTCAGTTGAAAGTACCCTCCGTTTTCGCGCATTCAGTTGACTGCAAGTACGCCGGATATGCATTTATTGCCACCTGTCATTCAGTTTTCTTTGGATCATATCAAGTTAATACTTATACATTTAGTGTCGGAGTTGTTCTTTAACATGGTATTGTGAGCTTTTTTTTACAACTGAAATGAGCATCGAGTGAAATCAATCTAAATCCGGATAATTTTTTCAACAATTTATTCAAGGTTAAAATTAACAGGATAAACAGATAATAAAAATGTTTACAAAATTATCTGATTGAATGAGAACTCCAAACATCAATACAATATCATACTAAATACTATTTTAAGTGCATGAAGTAGACATAAATCTTGTGAAATGCATGGAGAGTTAGCAATTGTCCGTAGAAATGTCGGCTAGTATGAAAAATGCAGTAATTGTCTATGGATTGGGGTGTATGTTGCTGTAACTAGTATACTATATATCACCCAAAATTACTTCTCATGTACCACTTGCTTGACAAGGAATCTAAGTCGAAACGTCGCCTATGCAGAATAAAGAAGTTGTATAGCCATAAAATTAGTCCTCATTCTTAGTATACTATACAGCTGCAATTACCTTGCATAAACAATAATACATCGGTGAACATACAGTCGATGGTCTGAATTTACAGTTAAGCTTTACATGTGATAAGATTAGAGAACATAAAAACCCATGAAGATCCGGGTTAGAATTGATCTTCAGTAACCCATGCTTGTCACTGACTTGGTTGTATCGTCATCGATCCCAGTTGCCTAGATTGATGCTCATGCTGTTGATCACTGGATTGTCTGGTCCAGACTCCATTATTTAAAGACCGCCGCCATATAGCTGGAATATTGCTGAGTGCAACATAAAGCTGAACTCACTCACTCACTCAGAGAACATACAAGTCTATGTCATGCGGTTACTGAGAAAAATTCTACAAAACGTGAACAGAAGGCCAAAACATAAAAAGAGATCAATACAATCAAGCATTTACTAATACACTGACATCAGCAATCAGAAGCATAACATTGAGGTAAATGAATAATGGAGGAAACTTGATTCAAATGTTACATTTCTGCAGAGAATGATGTACATAGGAACTCTTATTACTAGGGGTATTTAACATGTTATGTTTCAAGTGTTAGGTCAAATACGTTAAGTGGGATCAAAACCACCAGAAATGTGGGTCTGGAGGAACCAATTTCCATGGGTTATAAATACTCTATTACATTAGTACTCATCTGTGAGAAAAACAAGTTTTCTGTTCAATTTGCCTTTGACAAATAACATGATTGAAGCCAGTTTACTTTTCGTAGTGTCAGCAATGCTGTGCAAAGCTCTCTTTTCTGGTTTGAGAATTAAATCATTCATGAACTGAAGGTGTGACATCACATTTAGTAATTATATAATGCTTCCTGAAAAAACACATAACTGTCAACATACTGTCCTTTGGTATACTATGATTAAAACCCTCATGTAGAAAACACAGATGCATGTCAAATTGAAACTAGATTTGAATGCGATGATCCTTTGTAGCTTTGATCATTGCTTATACTTTCAATCACTCCTTTGTCTGGCCCAAACATCTTAATTATTTACAAACTGTCATGATATCCCTCTGTTTTTTATAGGGTGATACTGTTATATCTCTATTACAGGGATTTACTTTGGCCTACCAAGTTTTACTGGGAATCCAAGTCATTAACCATGTTAACGCCAGTCCAAGACTTATGACAGATGGTCACCTGATTTCAAAGATGCTGTCATATCTTGTTCCCAAGCTCAGATTCCTTGAACCTGTTTATGAGAATTGCATGGCAGTGTTATAAGGAAGAACATTAAATTTCACAACCTGAACTTTGAGTGTATTTTTACCAGAAGGGATATGTCAGTTATGTGTCACATACAGTCTAGTATTTTGATGAATTTTATGATGAAAAGGCATAATCTCCTACTTGCCAAAGGATTTGCAGTGCAGCTATGGTAAAGGAGAGGTTTCAAAACTGTATAAGTTCACACAAATGGTAAATAATGATCTTCATTCAGCCACATACTACCTCTTCTTTTGAGTGGAGAAATGGTTGTCAGTGATGTGGTGCTTGTGTACTGCAGTTGCCGAGTGATGATGTGTTGGTTGTGTCTCCCCCTCCTGTGAGTGCATCAAGCAGCAGCACCAATGAGGACAGTCTGCTGCAGATGTTCCTCCAGTCCAACCCACCAGAAGGGGGCAAGATAGAGAACGCTCAGCAGGTGAACAGTGTTACACTCCAACTTGATCGACAATAAATGCTGTCAATGATAGATTAAAGATTGACAAGTTATTTTATGAAATTACTTTTTGCATTGTTGCTAGGAGGCAGCATTTTGTTTTATTACTGTTTATTTAATAGAATGTCCCTGTCTGTGTTTCATGCAAATGTTGACCTCTCAAATACCTTAGAAATAATAGGGTTCTTTCAAATGTCATGTGAGTTTTTACTCTGTGAAGATGATTGATGATTTAGTAAGTGAGTGAGTTTAGTTTTTTTTATGACCAAAGCAGTGTTCACGAATGGTGTTTCAAAGTCACAGGACATTGGGTCCTGTAAGTTTCAGATGTCTGTCTGACCCATTGAAAATGCACAGGACCCATGGAATAAAATTAAACACACATTTCAGATTTAATATTTCTTATAATTGACATTGAAATTATTAACAAACATAAGATTTATAAACAGCAAACAAGTGTCACATGTCACATAAAACAACTTCAGTCAAAGTCATTGTGAAATATACAGTCAGACACTGGGGCTGGCGGGTTGTAGACTTCTGTCTGACCGTTGGCGAATCTGCCGGATTTGTCAGAGGGTCAAACGCTATTCGTGAACACTGCCAAAGATGTTGAAGAGAAAATCAAAGTTTACTGTATTGTCATGCTGCATGTTTTCATACCTATTGATTATCATGTTATTGTACTATTTCTTTTTTACATAATTACTGTTATATACTCAGTGTTTACATGGATAGATCACTCCCTTCCTGTGGTCTGTGCAATTATTATTTGGCAGTTGACTTTTGAGGAATTTTATACGTTTTGAGTATTGGCTATTGCAGTTCTTTTCCTGGTTCTCTGAACTGGAGGATGGTGTTGATCAAGAGGATGAAAGTCATTACAGGTACGCCAGTACTGCATCTTGCTTTGGAAACCAGTTTATCAGATGGGTGCATTTGTCAAAGTTTCATCATATTGTTGAATGGTTTTAGTGGGTTTTTTTAATGGGACAGAAGTATGTATGTACACTGTAATAACTATCTACTATACTGGATAGGTGATGAACAGTGTGGCATATTAAAGAAAGGTTTAACCATATTGATCAAATTAATGCTGCTTGCTCAAGTTTTATGGGTGCTGAATGCTTGTTGTACACAGGGATTACATGGATGGCTTGATGGGTCACCGTGACCAGTGTGACAGTGTGCTAGGGGAGGTAACTCAGGCCCTGGATCATCTGCGGGAGCTACAGAAGCAGTATGTCAATGTCTCCACCAAGACCAATGCTCTACATGATGCCTGTGAACACCTCCTGGCTGAACAGGTACATGATCTCAGTCCATTTTAGGGGAAAAAAAGCAGCTACGATGATGGCACTCAACCAATAATAAGTACTGTATTCAGTACATACCTAAGAAAGTGTAATCTAAAATATAACCTTTGTTACATTTGACTACTTTCTCAAAGGCATTGTGTATTTATAAGATAAACAAGATTGGGTGAGGAATGTCTGTCATTACAAAATATGAAAAGTATCTGGACATACTTAAAGAGGCTATAATATTTGAAATTAAACCTAACTTTCTGTATCCTGATTTAGTGTGTACATGTTAGTGCATGCATTGTTTTTTACTTTCAGACCAAACTGATGAATACCGCAGAGAGTTTGACAAACAAGCTGTCATACTTTAATGAGTTGGAGAGAATATCCAGTGTAAGTATTCAAAATGATGTATCTGCTCAGACACATGATGCTATGCTGCTGAAACCTTGGATGCATAATCCCATCCATGGTCTTCCAAATGTTACTCACAGATGGATTAAGATTGTAAACATGGATGCAATGAAGGCCATATTGAAAATGTCACGTTTGGATATAAGTGACCCATGTCTAGCTGTTCCAATATAAAGTTTGCTACTATTGTATTTTGCTCTGTCAGCTTTTCTTGTGACACATTGTCTCTCTGTGCAGAACATGAATAAAAAAAACATGATGCTTGCTGCCCAGTTAGCTTTAATAAAAGGACAAGGACCGGTCAGTTGGTAGTCCATATGTTGTTTCTGAGTGGGGTGTCCATGTTAAAACTGCAGCAAGGTGTGCTTGCTCTAAGAAAGGGTCATTAGTTAGGACATATACATGCTTAGCACTGTAAAAGTGCAATAATCCTATTCTTGTACAATAAACATTGTTTAATCCCTTTTCGACTCACAGCATCCATCATTAATTTTTTCATTTTTGACATTTGCATAACTGCAAGGCCTATGGGGGATAAGAATGTATGGATGAGCAACTTCTTTATTACATAATGAGTGATTGATAACAGTGTTAGAACCTACACTAAAATGTTGCTGCTACTGTAAAAAAAAGAATTATTCTTATTCTTAGCTTTCCTCAGAACTCCAACTTCTAAATGCCTCTGTAAGAAGTTACAAGGCTTATGGAACTGAAACTTGGTATGAATGGTCAAGCTCACAGATTTCTATTCCAACTTTGAACATGGCAGCCATATTGAGAATGTCCATTTTGGAGTTGATTTGACTATTTTACACATATTGTGTAACCATGGTGGGATGATGTTCTGTCACCAGTAGATGGCCAGGTCAGCATCTCCTCCTGATATGTAACATGTTGATGAATTCTAAACACCCATCATTGTATTTCAGAAACTTGGATCTCCTACTCTGACAGTTACAAACGAGTCTTTTGTTCCGATGTTGTCCCGTATGGATGAATGTATTCATTACCTTAAAAATAATGTGAGTTAGATACTGTCACAAACAAATTTCCCTTTAATCATGTTTATGAAAATATGTGTCAGCATATGGTCAAGCTTTCAACTTATGAGAAATATAATGTAACCATGGTCACTATTATTTTTCCCCGATATTTCTCACTAATAGACATTATGCAGATTTTGAAAACAGATACTCTATAATGTACAAGAATTGGAATATATGTTTACATAACAAGGCAACCCTGCATATTTGATTAAACTATTGACTCTGTTGACATCAATACAGACTTTTGCTATAGTCATTCATTCTGATATGTTGTTTATTCCAGCCTAGGTACAAGGAATCAGCAGTGTATTTAGCCAGGTTCCGGCAGAGTTTGTCCCGAGCACTTAATCTTATAAAGTCGCATGTGACGACACTACTGCAAAATGCAACACAGCAGGTGCAACCTAAAAAGGTACTCCATCAGTACACAGCATTATGACAATCATTTCAAGTTATTTTAAGAGAGGGATATCAGGGGCATCAGGGGGGTCATAAACATGGAGGACAATCTCTGGGGAAGGTGATAAAGAATTGATACACATACTTGTGGGGAGAGTCATGTTAAAATGTGCAGGGGCATAGGTAGGGTCATTAAGATATATGACAAGCATATGGAGATGTTCGGGTGAGATGTTTTCATTGTTCTTGGGAACATAGAAACAGAGGTTTCCACTATCGGGCAGAAAGGGGAGAGAAGCAAATAATATGAGTCAGGATAAGTGTAAAATATCATTTTTATCCTAATTTTTTTTTTTTTTCAGTACATTAGGACATCCTCCAATCTTTCAATACATGCTAAAGACTCCTGTTAGCAGTTGTAGTATGAAGCGGAATGATCACTGTCAGTCACAGAGTATCAGTTCTAAACTATATTCACTCAAATAAACTAACGACTTATGAGACGAGATGATATGATTAACTCTTTATTTTCAGCAGGATGTTCCAAACATGGCTGACAATGCATTTACTCTGTTCTATGGCAAATTCCGAGCCAATGCTCCTCGTATTAAATCCCTCACTGAACAGCTAGAGATAAGAGTGGATAAGACACCAGAGTAAGTACAGTTCATACATTAGCTTTTACTTACTTCAAGTAGAAAATATAAATGACATACTGGTAAGTGTGAGATGATCTTAAACATTTCAGTTCAGCCTTATTGTGCTGTTTCCCCTATTAGTTTCCCCAGCGCTCAATGCTTGTCATAAAAACACAATGTGGACTGGATGCGCAGACAGTGACTTGGATGTCACCACGCCTCTGTAGCGTTGATAGTTGTTCATGCTTGACCTTATCTGTTTGGGTGACTTGGTTACCTTGCTGTTACTGTGATGAAAGTGGAACATTGATGACTATGTGTTGAACGCAATTACCTGCACTGATGTCGTTTATACCTGTAGATATGCCGACGTCTTGGCTGACTGCCACCACTGCTACTTTGTGCAGCGGGAAACGCTTCTCGGACCCAGCATTGCCTCCACCATCACAGACCTGGCCAGTAAACATGTTCGGGATCACTGTGCACTGGTATGGCTTTCATTATCACTGTTGATTTTGTATCATATGGAATCATAGTGTAATAGATAATCAGTTACAGATTTGATCAGAAGATGTATTTTGTCAGCCAGGGTGATTTCTTTGTCGAATAAAAGTAAGACCAAAGGATTTGTATACTCAGCATGACTTTAAGAGATGAGACACTGTAAGCTGTGGGCTGAACTGTAACCTGTACTGTCAAGACATCAAGTGTGTTGTCAGACACTGGATGAGCTCCCTGCTTAAACCATTGTATTTGTGTTATGCAGATGCGGAGTGGCTGTGCCTTCATGGTGCATGTATGTGAGGATGAATACCAGCTGTTTTTCAACTTCTTCTCCAAACCAACGCCCATGTTAGAGTGAGTTGATATGTGTATTTTGTTCACCTAATTACGGCTTGTTGTTTGTCATTCTCAAATGAAGGGAAACAATCTTTACTCCGCAGTTCAAAATATCTCTGTTTAATTAACATACAGTATTATCACAACATTACACATTGGGATAAATAGATCTAGCTTATTTAATATTCCATTGATTGTATTTATTCATGTAAGACATTCTCAATGCAGTTATTGCTTATGAGTTAAGGAGATATATAACTTGACATCAAATATTGAGATGTTGGCACATCTGTGATGCATTAACAGTATCAACAGTGAGATGTTGGCACACGTGATGTATTGACTGTATTGACAGTGAGATGTTGGCACACATGTGATGTATTGACTGTATTGACAGTGAGATGTTGGCACACATGTGATCTATCGACTGTATTGACAGTGAGATGTTGTCACACATGTGATGTATTGACGGTATCGACAGTAAGATGTTGGCACACATGGGTGATCTATCGACTGTATTTACAGTAAGATGTTGTCACACATGTGATGTATTGACTGTATCGACAGTAAGATGTTGGCACACATGTGATCTATCGACTGTATTGACAGTGAGATGTTGGCACACATGTGATGTATTGACTGTATTGACAGTGAGATGTTGGCACACATGTGATGTATTGACTGTATTGACAGTGAAATGTTGACACATCTGTGATGTATTGACAGTGAGATGTTGGCACATTTGTGATGTATTGACTGTATTGACAGTGAGATGTTGGCACATCTGTGATATATTGACTATATTGACAGTGAGATGTTGGCACCTTTGTTAAATATTGACTGTATTGACAGTGAGAAGTTGTCACACATGTGATGTATTGACTGTAATGACAGTGAGATGTTGACACATCTGTAATGCATTAACAGTATCAACGGCGAGATGTTGGCACATCTGTGATGTATTGACTGTGTAGTGTCATGTAGCACAAATATGTGTGACGTCATAGGTTAATGTGTATGACGTACTACACGGTATCGAGCAGACGACCATTCGATCCAGGGAGCGGTGCGGCCGTCACGTAGACTTACAAGTCAGTGTATTTGAACCATGAAGATTAAAGGGTGTTAAAGTTATATACAACGCTTGTTCTTCCTTGCAATACTTGGACTTCACGATACTATATTCTGGCGACGAGGATAAACAACGAAACACCGAAGAAAATCAGCGATAAACAACTCAATGTGAAATAACTTTTCAAGATGTCAACAAGTTTGCCAAACTTCCGCGATTGAAGTGCACAGTGATTCAAACGCTGGACCTCGTTGGACAAAATACATTGCCAGGTTTGAACGTTTATTGCTTGCATTAGACATTAATGACAATATTACAAGCGTGCACTTTTGTTACATTATGCAGGGCCCGATGTTGATGACATTTTCGATACACTTTCAAATACGGAGAAGATGGCGATTATGATCTAGCCAAAGGAAAACTCACTGAGTATTTCCGCCAATTGTAAACACTGCTTTTGAACTTCACAATTTTCGCATGGCAAAACAGTTGGATTCAGAAAGCATAGACACTTATTGTACAAGGCTCAGGCAACTTGCCAAAACATGTGATTTTACCGATGTTGATAAAGAAATTGCAGCTCAGATTGTGATAGGATGTACGTCACAGAGACTTAGTAGAAAAGCATTGCGAGAAAATCTACATCTCAGAGACTTACTGAATGCAGGAAAATCACTAGAACTCAGTGAATCACAGGCATCAAATGTTGAGAAATCAGAATCAAAATTTGTTAACAACGTGTCACGTGGCAGAGGTAGAGAAAGATTCAGTGGTTCAAGACATGCGTAGCAGAAATAAATCTCATCATAGAAGCAAATCAAGACATGAGAATGCTAGATACAGACATGAAGGCAAACAATCCTACTCACAAAATACATCAAACAATTCAAGTAAACAATGTTATTTCTGTGGAGGCAATTATCCCCATACAGGCAGATGTCCGGCAAGAGGGCAAAATATGTGAATCATGTGGTATCAGAAATCATTTTGCAAGCGTATGTAGATGCAGAAATCAGCATGCAAGAGTTCAGAATATTGAAACAGAACAAGACAGTACAGTTGTAAATGATTTCATGAATGACTCAGAAGAAAGTTACTACCTGTATCCAATATTTCACGAAAGGCAAGATGAGGAAGATTTTATGAACGCTTCATCTAATATCAACACTACTAGACTTGGCTCATCACAGAGAAGAATGCCTATCAAGAACATTGACATTTCGGAAAAAGAATTTCCAGTTATCATTGATTCAGGTGCATCAGTAGGCGTTATGGATCAGCAAACATGGGATACACTCAAGAGAAAAACTTGTGTTAGGCACACTCAGAAACACTCAACGCGCAAACTATTTGCATATGGATCAGATAAACCTTTACCAATCATGGGTGTTGTGACTTTACCAGTGACACATGATCAAGTTCAAGTAGAATGTGAATTTCACATAGTTCGAGGAAGATCAGGAAATCTACTTAGTTTCAAATCAGCAGAGGATCTTGAGATATTGAAGATTGCAAGAAATATCAACACAAGAGATATTACAGATGAATTTCCAGAATTGTTCACAGGTGGCATAGGTAAAATAAAAAGACAGACAAGTGAAACTTCATGTTGATGAAAACATTCAACCAACTCGACAACCACATCGAAGAATTCCATTTCATGTGAGAAAGGATGTAGAAAATGAACTGAAGCGTTTAGAAGAATTAGACATCATCGAGAAAGTTGATGGACCAACTCCTGGGTTAGCCCAATCGTTAAGTAGTCGAAGAAATCATCAGGTGTCAGAATATGTGTAGACATGAGAGAAACAAACCAAGCTATTCGACGAGAAAAACACATAATGCCAACTATTGAAGATCTCATATCAGACTTAAGCGGTTCAACTATCTACAGCAAAATGGACCTAACAGCCGGTTATCACCAGCTAGAACTACACCCTGACAGCAGGTACCTGACTACATTTAGTACACATGTTGGATTGAGGCGCTACAAGCGTTTATCTTTTAGGATCAACACAGCCTCTGAAATTTTCCAAAATGTGATTGCAGAAATCATTCAAGATGTCCCCGGATGCAGAAACATATCAGATGACATACTTGTTTATGGGAAGAATCAAGCTGAACATGACCAGCGACTGAAGCAATTACTAAAAGTGCTCAGAGACAAGCGGCATTACTCTCAACAAGGCAAAATCACGAATTCTCAAAATCAGAAGTCAAGTTCTATGGGCATGTGTTTGGGAAGAATGGAATGTCTCGATCCTGAGAAAATCAAGACAATAATTAACACACCAGCTCCAGCATCAGCAAGTGAAGTCAAATCACTCCTAGGTATGGTGCAGTGCGTTGCCGTTATATTCCTGATTATGCAACCATCACAGAACCTCTGAGAAAACTCACAAGAAATCGACACTCCATGGCGATGGGGAAAACTAGAAGAAAAGTCTTTCAAACAACTGAAATCAGTTCTCAGTTCTGCACAAGTTATGGAATATTTCGATCCAAACAAGAAAATTGAACTTTTAAATTCGATGCAAGTCCTGTTGGACTTGGCGCCAATACTCACTCAAGAAGGCAAGATTCTCAGCTATGCCAGCCGTGCATTACTGGATCCAGAAACCAGATACTCACAAACAGAAGAGAAATGTTAGCTGTCATTATGGGCGCAGAACACTTTCATCTATACACATTTGGAGAAAACTTCAAGATTATCACCGATCACAAGCCACTCCTTGGTATATTCAAGAGTAGAAAACCTGCTTCTGCAAGAATGGAGCGATGGAGAATCCGGTTAACTCCCTACAACTATGAACTCGCATATCAACCAGGAAGAGATGAGAACAACCCAGCAGATTACATCAGTCGGCATCCTGTAGCTGAAGAGAAAGTGCAGAGCATAGGTGAAGATTACATCAACTACGTGTGTATGAATGCAGTTCCAAAAGCATTAACCTTCAAAGAAATCCAAGAAGAAACCAAAGAAGATGCAGTACTTCAATCAGTCATATCATCTATTGAATCAGGAAGATGGAATAACCCTGAGCTCAACAATTTCTTCAAGCTGCGAGAAGAACTAGCTGTATACAAGCGGTGTCATACTTAAGTGATCATCGCATTGTTGTTCGGAATCACTCAGGCGAAGAACTGTTGAACTTGCACACATCGGGACATCAAGGCATCGTGAAAACCAAGAGACTGATTCGAGAGAAGGTATGGTTTCCTGGTATAGGCGACATGGTCGAGAAGATGGTGAAATGCTGCATCCCATGTCAAGCTGTCACAGACATGCCAAAGCGGCGAGAACCTTTGAAGATGACAAACTTACCAGCAGCACCGTGGGCCGAATGTATCAGTTGATTTGACAGGTCCATTCCCATCAGGAGACTACATGCTAGTTGTCATGGGCGATTACACAAGATATCCTGAAGTTGAAATCATAAAATCGGCGTCAGCAAGAGCAGTTATCCCAAAACTTGATGCAATATTAAGCATACGACAAAGGTATCCCCAAAGATGCGTGAAGTCAGACAATGGATCACCTTTCAACAGTAAAGAATTTGCAGATTTTGCAGTATACCTAGGCTTCCATCATCGCAGAATTACACCTCTATGGCCTGAAGCAAATGGAGAGTCGAGAGATTCATGAGAATTTTGAAGAAATGCGTTCAAACAGCCACAGCTGAAAGCAAAAAGTGGAAACAAAATTATGGAAATTCCTGAGACACTGCAGAGCTACTCCACACTCCAGCGACAACAGTAAGTCCATTTGAATCCCTGACAGGCAGGAAGATGGCTACAAATACCTGAAGTTCAAATGAACATATCGTCCAACCAGAAGATCAATGATCAACTCCGAAGAAAAGATGAAGAAAATAAGCTGAAGATGAAAGAATATGCTGACAACAGAAGAAATACAAAGCCGTCATCGTTAGAAGAGGGAGATGCTGTACTTGTACGACAACCTCAACACAATAAGCTGACATCAAAGTATAATCCCCAGCCATATATCATCACTGAGAGGAAGGGCAACATGATAACAGCGAGCGAGATAATCATAACATCACCAGAAATTCATCACACTTCAAGCCAATTCCAGTCAGCGCAGATCATCAAATCAAATCGAAGAAGAAAGCGGCGTGAGACTTCGACACTGGTATCCAGCCCGCAAACAAAACGAACTGATGATGAAGAGACCATTCCACTGAAGTCATGTCTGAGAAGATCAACAACAGAGAGAGAAGTTTCCTGTTAGGTTCAAAGACTATGAACTGAATTAATGCTCAATATTGAGTAAACATGGACTGTTATAAATTTTCACCAGTTGTGGACTGTTCTAAGTGTTCAGCAGTTATGGACTGACCAATATGCTAATGTGGTCAAATATGGACTGTTGAAGTGTTGCTGATCAACAAAAAAACAAAACAACCTATGGACTGCTTAGTGTTAAAATAATGTTGTTGATCAATTATAGTGGACAGTTAAAGCGTTGCAAATCACCACATTCATCGGAATTTCCAGTTTAAAGTTTTACATTTTCAGTGAAGAATAGTTAATTCAGTGAAATCCATCAGAGACTCTAAAGGGTAACTGTGTATCAAGAAATGCCAGGACATTCAGAGATGGAAATAATTATAATCTCTCAAAGTGACATTTAATTCTATTCTATCTGAGAGTTGAAAGTGTTGAAATAATTTTCAATTAATTGTTGATGTTCCACTGTTACAGTTAATGTTACAGCAATTTATTACATTTACTCATATCCATTCAATATATACTATCCCAAGCACTTTTGCAGTAATAATCTCTTACCTTCAACTTTTATTAATTCATAATCAGTATATATACAAAGCTGATGTACATTCCAAATTATATGAAAAGTATCTATCTAAAGGTAAGGAGAATTGTAGTGTCGTAGCACAAATATGTGTGACGTCATAGGTTAATGTGTATGACGTACTACACTGTATCGAGCAGACGACCATTCGATCCAGGGAGCGGTGCGGCCGTCACGTAGACTTACAAGTCAGTGTATTTGAACCATGAAGATTAAAGGGTGTTAAAGTTATATACAACGCTTGTTCTTCCTTGCAATACTTGGACTTCACGATACTATAGACTGTATTGACAGGGAGATGTTGGCACATCTGTGATATGTTGACTGTATTGACAGTGACATGTTGGCACATCTGTGATATATTGACAGTGAGATGTAGGCACATCTGTGATTTATCGACTGTATTGACAGTGTGATGTTGGCACATCTGTGATGTTTTGACTGTATTGACAGTGAGATGTTGACACATCTGTAATTCATTGACAGTATCAACAGTGAGATGTTGGCACACATGTGATGTATTGACTGTATTGACAGTGAGATGTTGGCACACATGTGATGTATTGACTGTATTGACAGTGAGATGTTGACACATCTGTGATATGTTGACTGTATTGACAATGAGATGTTGGCACATCTGTGATATGTTGACTGTATTGACAGTGACATGTTGGCACATCTGTGGATATATTGACAGTGACATGTTGGCACACATGTGATATATTGACTGTATTGACAGTGAGATGTTGGCACATCTGTGATATATTGACAGTGAGATGTTGCCACATCTGTGATTTATCGACTGTATTGACAGTGTGATGTTGACACATCTGTGATGTTTTGACTGTATTGACAGTGAGATGTTGACACATCTGTAATTCATTGACAGTATCAACAGTGAGATGTTGGCACACATGTGATGTATTGACTGTATCAACAGTGAGATGTTGGCACACATGTGATGTATTGACTATATTGACAGTGAGATGTTGGCACACATGTGATGTATTGACAGTATCAACAGTGAGATGTTGGCACATCTGTGATGTATTGACTGTATTGACAGTGAGATGTTGGCACATCTGTGATGTATTGACTGTATTGACAGTGAGATGTTGGCACATCTGTGATATATTGACAATGAGATGTTGCCACATCTGTGATGCATTAACAGTATCAACAGTGAGATGTTGGCACATCTTTTATGTATCGACAGTGAGATGTTGTCACACATGTGATGTATTGACTGTATTGACAGTGAGATGTTGACACATCTGGAATGCATTAATAGTATCAACAGTGAGATGTTGGCACATCTGTGATATATTGAATGATAGTGAGATGTTGGCACACATGTGATATATTGACTGTATTGACAGTGAGATGTTGGCACATCTGTGATGTATTGACAGTGAGATGTTGGCACACATGTGATGTATTAACTGTATGAACAGTGAGATGTTGGCACATCGGTGATGCATTAACAGTATCAACGGTGAGATGTTGGCACATCTGTGATATATTGACTGTATTGACAGTGAGATGTTGGCACATCTGTGGTGTATTGACAGTGAGATGTTGCCACATCTGTGATGCATTAACAGTATCAACGGTGAGATGTTGGCACATCTGTGGCGTATTGACTGTATTGACAGTGAGATGTTGGCACATCTGTGGTGTATTGACAGTGAGATGTTGCCACATCTGTGATGCATTAACAGTATCAACGGTGAGATGTTGGCACATCTGTAATGCATTAACAGTATCAACGGTGAGATGTTGGCACATCTGAGATGTATTGACTGTATTGACAGTGAGATGTTGCCACATCTGTGATGCATTAACAGTATCAACAGTGAGATGTTGACACATCTGTAATGCATTAACAGTATCAACGGTGAGATGTTGGCACATCTGAGATGTATTGACTGTATTGACAGTGAGATGTTGCCACATCTGTGATGCATTAACAGTATCAACAGTGAGATGTTGACACATCTGTGATGTATTGACAGTGAGATGTTGGCACACATGTGATGTATTGACTGTATTGACAGTGAGATGTTGGCACATCTGTGATATGTTGACTGTATTGACAGTGACATGTTGGCACATCTGTGATGTATTGACTGTATTGACAGTGAGATGTTGACACATCTGTGATATGTTGACTGTATTGACAGTGAGATGTTGGCACATGACATCTGTGATATATTGACTGTATTGACAGTGAGATGTTGACACACATGTGATATACTGACTGTTTCAACAGTGAGATGTTGGCACATCTGTGCTGTATTGACAGTGAGATGTTGGCACGTGACATCTGTGATATATTGACTGTATTGACAGTGAGATGTTGACACACATGTGATATATTGACTGTATCAACAGTGAGATGTTGGCACATCTGTGATGTATTGACAGTGAGATGTTGGCACATCTGTGATGTATTGACTGTATTGACAGTGAGATTTGACACACATATATTGACTGTATTGACAGTGAGTTGTTGGCACATCTGTGATGTATTGACAATGAGATTTTTGCACATCTCATGTTTTAACTGTTTCAACGGTGAGATGTTGGCACACATCTAATGTATTGACTTTATCAACAGTGAGATGTTGGCACACATCTGATGTATTGACTGTATTGACAGTGAGATGTTGGAGCGGCTGTGTAACAACCTGTACGATGTGCTGCGGCCACTCATTATTCACGTGAACCATCTGGAGACTCTGTCCGAACTGTGCAGCATCCTCAAGTTGGAGATGATGGAGGAACATGTCCTGAACAATCGTGAGTCCAAAGAGAACACTTACATGTGCCAGGGTGGTTAACCTCATACAGTCAGACTTACAGTGTTTCCTTTGGGGAGGTAATAGATTCATAGTACCTCCTTGCTTGGTGTTAAAACTAGCTATAATTTTCATTTAGTAATTAATTAGGTGGATACAATTTCAACTTTGAATGTGTGGTAATTGGACCTCTAAGTCTGGACCTGTGGTCATGCTGTTGTGGATTGTAGTGCATGTGAAGATCATGCTATTGTGTCTCAGTATGGATTGTTGTAAATGTGAAGATCATGCTCTTGTGTCCCAGTATGGATTGTAGTGCATGTGAAGATCATGCTATTGTGTCTCAGTATGGATTGTTGTAAATGTGAAGATCATGCTCTTGTGTCCCAGTATGGATTGTAGTGCATGTGAAGATCATGCTATTGTGTCTCAGTATGGATTGTTGTAAATGTGAAGATCATGCTCTTGTGTCCCAGTATGGATTGTAGTGCATGTGACACTCATGATATTGTGTCTCAGTATGAGTTGCAGTGCCTGTGATTATCATAGTATTGTGTCTCAGTATGAATTGTAGTGCCTGTGAAGATCATAGTATTGTGTCTCAGTATGAATTGTAGTGCCTGTGAAGATCATAGTATTGTGTCTCAGTATGAATTGTAGTGCCAGTGAAGATCATAGTATTGTGTCTCAGTATGGATTGTTGTAAATGTGAAGATCGTGATATTGTGTCCCAGTATGGATTGTAGTGCATGTGTCCCAGTATAGATTGTTGTGTACTTCATGACCACTGGTTTGTGATGTTCACATAAGAAAACTAAACAGAGGCACAGATAGTCTTGGTTACCTAGCCATGCCAGGATGAGGTGGCTAAGCGTTCCACATTTGCCCTACTCTGCTGCCATAATACTCTGTCACCATAATACCCTTAACCCTGGGATTCACTAAAGTCGTAAGTAGACATGATCTGTGTTCTTCTAGGCCTATTGTTACCTAAATGTGGTGTGTAGTAATGTTACCTTAAATACTGTGTGAAAGATTGTTCACACACAGAATTATGTTAACATGCTATCATGGTGTATTTCAGCCCAGGAGCTCGGGGCGTTTGAGTGTATATGTAAGCAGATGTTGATGGATGTGCAGGAGAGATTGGTGTACCGGTCCTACATCTACGTGAAGGCCGACATCTTCCAGTACTCTGCTGCTTCAGGAGACCTGGCATACCCCGAGAAGCTAGAGATGATGGAGGTGGGTCAACCCTCTCAATGGACAACCACAGAACAATGTACAGAAGGGAAAGATTTCATTTTCTTTCTTATTTATCTATCATTGTATGTGTTTTAATGGTGAGTGTTGTAAGTTGAAAAAGTCATTGCCCTATAGCGAACAGGATAAGCATGGTGTGTGCCAAATCAAACAATTGTATTCATATCATTTTTGTTTGCTGTGTGGTTTGTGTATAAGCTACTATCATTGTTATGCAGAGTATTGCGGAGAGCATCAAGAAGGGACAGCAGAGTGACAAAACCCATTCCCGCACCCCATCTAACGCCTCCAGCACCAGCCAGGAGGTAGCACAGCTCACAGCCACTGAGACGGAGATGCAGACAGTGCCCCTTAATGAGCCCAGTAGAGGTAGGAACACAGACTTCATTCCAGGCCAGTTCCATTATTTTTCCTTATCCTGACTCATACTCTTTTGCTTGTCTCCTTCTTCTTGCGAATGATAGTGGAACACTTGAATCCCCTTTTGAAGCTCCCTTCATAAAAGCGGATGTAAAATCACTCACCCCATGAGTAGCCTCCCTTTGCCCTTTGGTGCCCTTATTGGTCACCTGACCAGCCATGCTTGTCACTCTCTCCTTCTTCGCCCTAGAGGACGGTTGTGAGAGCGCCTGGATCCCCTATACAGCACTATATCCTTTTAATTTTAGTCCTTTACCACTAATTTTAGCTGTATATGGCATTTAGGAAGATATACCGGCAATATGGTTTGGAATTTTTGTCTAAAATATCTGTTTATTCACGTTGTTGACGTGATATTTCATCTTGTTTACAATTGATGAAAAACTTGCATTCGTTGCAGGTACCGGTTGTCTGCTGCTCATCTATTATGTCCTAATTGTACTTCTACATGTTCTTCCAGCTTTCGCTGCATTTATCTGAAATTGAATTTAATAATTATTTATATTCTATTCTTAGACGTGCTAAGGACAGGTCTAGACGGCATTTACAAGTCATGTCTAACCGAGTGAATGCGCTGATAACTGTTTATTGCTGGCTGCTGAGATTCACGATTCCAGTGAATTGCGGTTGCTACTACAGAGCATGTTGCTGTGGCTGATGGTAGCTCCGGCTCCAGGAAGAGGTTGTCAACGTTGGAAGTAGCCTCGTCGCAGTCTAAGAAGACCAGGGCATCGTCTTCACAGAAAAAGAAGTCGTCTGCAGATGAGACTTCGGCGAAGTCTTCCCATGGGGCAGAGCAGAAGACGAGGTCCTTCTCTGCAGAGATTATCCCTCCAGACGAAGTAGACGTGTATGACGAGCCACTCATCCTCAATTCTGAAGTAGCAGTTAAGAAGAAGACGAGATCCTCTTCTACAGTGATGTCAGCAGTCATCTCAGCGCAGTCAGGATGATCTATCAACACAGACATCAGGTACCAGAGACGCCAGTTCTTCACAAGTGCAGCGGTCCTTGGAAGAAGCCTCATCACTCTCAGATGCGTCGTCATCTGCAGCAGCAGCAGCCGTCGTCGCAGAACTTCAACCGGGTATCTTCATGCAGCAGTTTACTCAGCAGATGTTGGAGCTGATGGAACGACGGTTTGCACAGGAGAAGGCTGCGGCGAAGGCCCCATCTACGACAACCTGCACAAGGACAAGCAGTCTGCACATCGCATCCCAACGAAGATGGTAGCCTGCGTGAAGGCTGCTACGAAGACCTCATCTACGACGACGAGCCTGCACGAAAGACCAGCAGTCTGCACATCGCATCCCAACGAAGATGGAGGCCTGCGTGAAGGAGGAAGTCTTCGTGAAGGCTGCTACGACCTCATCTACGATAACGAGCCTGCACGAAGGACCAGCAGTCTTCACATCGGATCCCAATGAAGATGGAAGCCTGTGTGAAGGATGAAGTCTGCGTGAAGGCTGCTACGATGGCGAGTCTGCGTGAAGGCTGCTACGATGGCGAGCCTGCACGAAGGACCAGCAGTCTTCACATCGCATCCCAACAAAGATGGAAGCCTGCGTGAAGGAGGAAGTCTGCGTGAAGGCTGATACGAAGACCTCATCTACGATGACGAGCCTGCACGAAGGATCAGCAGTCTTCACATCGCATTCCAACGAAGATGGAAGTTTGAGTGAAGGAGGAAGCCTGCTTGAAGGTTCACACTTGACTGCAACCTCGACAACGATGATGCAGCCCTAGACGAGCCGGAAGGACCTTCCAAGGAGCCTTCACGCAGGAGCAGGACGAGACGTTCTTCGGAGTATCGCAAAAGTCGGTCACATGGATCATCTTCACCCTCAGACGCGGATCTTCGTCGTGAGCCTGCGTGCAGGCACTCGTCATCACGGAGAAGACAATCCACACCTTCACGAAAGGCAGAGGGATAAGTCTCAAGATTCAAGGGAAGATTCATATTCCAACCGTTCACCTGCGCACAGGTCTTCAGGCAGGTCTTCAGGCAGGCAGGGACTCACGTTGTCGTGGATCAGAAGCACTCACGTACAAGATATCTACAATGATTTGATACGTTCACCTTTCACCTCTCGATCTGATAGCTCAAGTACCGGAGAATCTCAGCGCAGCCTTGGTAAGGCTACGAAGTTCCAGAGTCAACATGTCCCGACGTTCAATGCCAGAAATTCCCACTACTTCATATGGAACCCTTCATGAAGGCTCCAGAGATTGATGACAACTACAAGATCATCAACGACTCCCATTGCAGAACTTACACAACTACTAGATACTTGTTTCGGGCTAGACAGATCCAACATCAGCAGGCTTGACTCTTGTGAGGAAAGGGACAGCTTGACAGTTATCACTGGCCTAGCATTGGCATTGTCGCAGTCCTCAGCGTGACATCGTTTTTCACGGTCATCGTACCGAAGAATCAACTCTACAAGAACCTTTGTGTATTCAACACACTTGGTTATTTTAAGGTGCTTCATTGGGACCGATTACTATAGTCTACAAGTAAAGAAGCGTTAAGCTTCAGCTGATCATCTGTATAAGATGACGCCTACATTATCTTCAGTGAAGAAGGAAACAATCACAACAACCAGGGAGACAGTCTACCTACATCGGTATTACGCGGCAAAATCCTTCACGCGTTTTCCACTCAGCCTGCTATACACGTGTTCACTCGTGTAACTCTGGGAGGTTACGGACAAGGCCGAGTGTTGATGAAGAAATCAACAACTACACAAGATTTTACAAGGATCTTTTTCCTGCAACACCGGTGACGTCACATCGCGGGAATCTGAGATGAATCTAAAGCTGCAATTTGATTGGTCCATGAGAGACAACGCCCTGCTCAGAAGTCGGGCATAGCTAACGTGTCAGGAAGTCGTCTACAGTTGTAAACAACTTTTCAACGTGGGAGGAAGGCTCCATTTACAGTCCAGTAATAGCAGGGTACAGCGTGATTCGACTGTCTTCACGGGTCATAAGGACCTTCCCTGTCAGCAGATTGAAGATTGTTTATCCAGCGATTTGCAGCAACATACGTTTGACGATTTCTGCTCACGGCAGCCAGTCTACTATACATAGACTTCACAGCGATGGCAGTTCAAGTACATCTAGAGACGACGAATTATGCATCATCACTGCACTTTGTTAGGATTCTGGGGACAAGTCTTCTTGACATATTATCGGAAGATTGAAGAAATAAACTTCAAGTCATGATTCAGGAACCGGACATTGCTCCGCTTCCATTACGGACATGGCAAGGGTTCAACTGTCTACTTACCTACAACATAGGATATGAGCAGATTTCAGGGAAAATGTTCATCTCACCACAGAATCGCATGTTCGTCTCAGAGGATCATTGGGTCTAGATACAAGCCATGGTATCTCAAGCACTACTCTCTCCGTTACCACTACGAAGTTGGCAGAGCCTACTCAGTCTTCTCACGTCAGCGCAAGACATGACTCGCAGAGGAAAATATGCTCTGGACTTTGAACGAACACGATTTGATGCACATCGTCACATCGTACATCTGGGACTGAGATGGGACTTCATAGCAAAGAACCAGCTGCCCGGTCAACCAGACAGACAGTTCCACATCCCAGCACTCTCTACAGTCCTTGGGCCACAGGATCTATCCTTATGCCCAGTCAGAGCATTGAAAGTCTACCTACAAAGGTCTAAGACGAGGAGACGAAAATTCGAGCACCTTTTCATCTATCTACGGAGACGCCTACAGAGGTCTCACGTACGACGATATGAGAGCCGTCATCAGAAGGGCCTACAAAGCAGCAGGACTTGAGCCTCCACGAGCCTCCAACCCTCATGAAGTCAGAGCTCTGGCATCGACACTCGCTCTGAATGGAAACTGCTCCATCTCAATGATAATGGAGGGCTGCTTTTGGAAGTCGGAGACAGTGTTTGCCACCCACTACCTCAGAGGCATTGCTACCGAGGACGTCTCCGGCATTCACCAGTTTGGGCCTTTTGTTGTAGCACAACAATTGACGGTTCCACAAAGGCGCTGAGATGGATCTCACCCTTTTATCACGTGACTTGTAAAAGCCAACGCTCTGGAGAGCTAGAGCTTTAGAGTCCATGCGCACGTCTAGGACAGACCAGCATGAGTGATAGACCCTGTACTTGTAAAGGAGTTACTCGTACATGAAGAAGGGTCGCTTCTCCACTTGATGCAGAGCATCAAGACATGGAGTTGCATAAATCCACACATAATGTCAGGAGAAGAGTTCCAGAGAAATCTGACAAGTTGTGGTCCCCCCAGACTCATCAGAGGAAGCTGGAAGAAAAAAGGATCAGCACAAGTGCCATCATAAGTTCCCACGGGGGGTATGCAGGACGTAAATCTACAACCGATGAATCCAGAAGTGGCCTGACCCACCACCGGTTCCGTTGGATTCTACAAGCAAAAGAGCATGAGTCAGGATAAGGAAAAATAAGTTATATTTTATACTTATCCTGACTCATGAGGTCAGCCCTCCCAACCTCCCCTCTGGACACTCTGGATTTCCCGGTAATCTGGGTGTCGGGCTCATATATGGAGAGAGTGACAAGTATGGCTGGTCAGGTGACCAATAAGGACGCCAAAGCACAAAGGGAGGCTACTCGTGGGGTGAGTGATGTTACGTCCGCTTTTTTTAAGGGAGCTTCAAAAGGGGATTCAAGTGTTCCACTATCATTCGCAAGAAGAAGGAGACAAACAAAAGAGCATGAGTCAGGATAAGTATAAAATATCAATTTTAGCCAGAAAATTACATATTGCTGCATTCAGTATTCACGTGGCCATTCCACCATCGCCGCATTCTGTATTCACATGGCCATTCCACCATTGCCGCATTCTGTATTCACATGGCCATTCCACCATTGCCGCGTTCAGAATTCACATGATCATTCCACCATTGCCGCATTCTGTAATCACATGGCCATTCCATCACATGGCCATTCCACCATTGCCGCATTCTGTATTCACCATGGCCATTCCACCATTGCATGGCCATTCCACCATTGTATTCTGTATTCACATGGCCATTCCACCATTGCACATGGCCATTCCAGTATTCACATGATCATTCCACCATTGCCGCATTCTGTATTCACATGGCCATTCCACCATTGCCGCATTCTGTATTCACATGGCCATTCCACCATTGCCGCATTCTGTATTCACATGGCCATTCCACCATTGCCGCATTCTGTATTCACATGGCCATTCCACCATTGTCGCATTCTGTATTCACATGGCCATTCCACCATTGCCGCATTCTGTATTCACTTGGCCATTCCACCATTGCCGCATTCTGTATTCACATGGCCATTCCACCATTACCGCATTCAGTATTCACATGGCCATTCCACCATTGCCGCATTCTGTATTCACATGGCCATTCCACCATTACCGCATTCTGTATTCACATGGCCATTCCACCATTGCCGCATTCAGTATTCACTCGCCATTCCACCATTATTGTGGGGCCAGTCTAATGAAACTAAAAAACAGAACAAGAAGTCCTTGGCAACAGGTTTACAAACATAGGCAGAGTGTTCTCTATGTGACTTTGTATGGAGTTGTGTGAATGTAATTATACACAATGTGATGACATGAAAGCTGTCTGGTAACTGTACAAGAATATTTTATTTCACGCTTGGTGATTGGTCCATATCACTAGTAGTAGCCAGTCATATTTCAAGACAATGTCATGGCTGAGTTTTCGTCGTTCAAATGGCTGATGAGGATATTTTCATTCTTTTCAAAGAAATAAGAGACATGGTCAGATTGAACAGATAATGCAGAGGAAATCCTCTGCACTTTGGCTGGAATTGACTTGAACCTTACCCGTGGCCAAGACAATTGGATGAAAATGCTATGACTTCAAATTTTTGGGATGGCCCACATTTGTGGGGTTCAGATTGTCCAAGGGGCCCACAATCAGAACACTGAGTTATATGTAGATAGGATGTAGGTGTTATATTCAAAATCTTAATAAAGACATACCTTTTTGATGTGTTGATAAACCTGAAAATATTGTCTCTGTATTCCAGACAACCCAACCAGCAACATGCCCATGTCTCCAGCTGATCTGCACGGAATGTGGTACCCGACTGTCCGCCGTACGTTAGTCACGCTGTCCAAGCTATACAGATGCATTGATGTGAGTAGAGCAAGATGTACATGTATCAGTCTGCTTGCACTCAAACTGCAAGGCCACTTTGTTTATGCTTCTCTCCCTATCCACAGAAGACCACCTTCCAGGGCTTGTCTCAGGAGGCGCTGTCAGCCTGCATACACTCTCTCTCTGCAGCCAAGGACGGTATCATAAAGAGAAAGACAGTTATGGATGGAGAGTTGTTTCTCATCAAGCACTTGTTGATTCTACGGGAACAGATAGCACCATTTCATGCTGACTTTGCCATAAGGGAAACCCATTTGGACTTCAGCAAGTTTAAAGGTAGATGCAAGGCAAATGGAAGCCTTCGGCAGGGTATATGAGGGTAAAAATTGTTTGTATAGGTAAATGCATTGATGCCCCTTTGCATGAAGTACAAGAGCTATTTGCTTTGCAACAACACTTACTTTTATGTGAAGCTTGGATCTGAGCCTTAATCATTCTTATTAATCACTGTCAGTTGATTACATTTTACGTTAAAGTGTACTCGGTACATTGTTTTTCTTCATTTTGCAATTTTATTGTAGCTGTTTATCATTCACATAGTGGATATTCTTGAGTTGTGATCTTGTCTGTAGATTGTGTTAGTTGCACTGAGGCAGTCACCATTAGGAAATACACAGTTCCCTGGTGTCTATCTGTCTTAAACCAACCTAAATACAAGAGTCAGATAAAACCTAGGTACCTACTTCTAGGAACCTTCTTTTACTCAAGAAAAGGTTGTCCCCTGTAATATGCCGTATATCAAAGGTCTTTTCCTGTGAACAAATGAGCAAACCTTAATGAGAATGGGAGAATAAAACAACAATTTAAAGTGTAGATGTCCCTAATATTACTCTTTGGATCATTATCCACTATATATTTTTTATGTTAATATATGTGTTTCTTAAATGACATTCTCAGATATTGTAGCAAGCATTTTGTATGCATGTTATGACTTACACTTATATCCAACCTGGTAGAGAATTGTAATGCAGTAGTAAGGATTTGCTCATGCTATTAGGTGACAAAATGAACTGCCATTGACCGAGATTGCTCAAGCGAATATGACAGAGTGGTCAGTCATCCTAAAAGGTCAGCTAAAAATGCTGCAACTCTATACTGGTGACAAGAAGCCAAGTGTAAAGTACATCACGTTGTAGAAGAGTGATCTGATACTGTCACTGTCACAGATAGGTGTAGAGTCAACAACAAGAAATGTCAGTGTCAGCAACTAGGGAGAAAGTCCATCAACAATAAGGGATTAAAGTCAGTGTCAAATAATAGGGCTTGAAGTGTCAACCATTAAATGTGATCAATTGCCCCATTTCCTAACAATAGTAACAATAATGTTAAGACCTGAACATGTAAGGGCTCTTAGATTGGGCTGGTGTTGCTGAATGTCCCAAGGAAGATCATTCTCTTCCCACAGAGGTTACTCCTGTCATATCTTCCTACGTAACCTCTGTTCTAATACAGCCCTTTCATGGTGTGAGCGTTCAAGACTCGTGATTGGAGGCAATCAGATTTAGTTGTGCAATCAGCGACATTGTTTCAAAAGTGATCATTCGCAAGGCCTCGGTAATTTCCGTATACTTCGAGAAAACTAAACCTCTTCCCCTGCGCGATGCACAAACGTTTCTTCTAGACAGAACTCAGTCATGTTATGGCGGATCAGTGGCGTCTCCATCGCCCTCGTTGACAACGGACAAGCTAGCCATTAAATGTCTTGTGTGTAACATCAACACAAGTCCCCGGCAGATGGGGGATATTTGTGGCCTCACATTTGGTTTTGTTAGTCAAGTTGAATCTAAGTCGATGTAACACGTGTTCTGATTGGATAGAAAGAAGGGAGATAATTTGTGTTGCGATCTTTTGCCGCTAGGGGATTTTACGAGAACCGGGAAATATGGCCGTATTAGAACAGAGGTTCGTAGGAAGATATGACAAGTAACCTCTGAGGGAAGAGAATGAAGGAAGATGGGACCTTGTTTAATTTCTAACACTTCCATTGTATTCCCTGCAGACATGGCCAGTAAAGATGGGAGCCTAGGACTGGGGGTGTTTGTAGGTATGTCCACTGGGTTGGTCAGTTACCTCCCTTTGTTGTGCCTGTGCCTTTGTTGTGATGTAGCAGTACAACATCAAATGTATGCAGTGGAGTATTCTCTGACATAAGCTTATCATATTGAAGTATACCTTGATGTCTGTAGTATTCTTTGTCTTAAATCAAATGTTGTCATTTGTTTTCCAAACATGTAATAATGTCTCAATGCATTAATCTTACAACCAAATGATTTACAGTACATGAAATGCTCTTTAGCAGCAAGAAATTACAAAAAATGGGTTTGACATTAGGTTTGGCATTTTGTAGGACTGCTAGTGTGTTTTGGTTTTAAGCATGTTTCATATAATTCCACAACATATTTCTTTGTTACGTCTTGGCTTTCTTTGTGTTATTGAGGAACATGAGACACGTACATGACATAATGACAATAGCCTGAATTAAGACAAGCACTGTTCTCTGACTGACTGCAGTTCTCCTCTGGCAGGAAATCTTTGCTTGTGCATGTTCTGAATGCTGCTCTCACCACACCAGGAAATATGCATGGTTTATGTGACAATAGTTGTCAGTGTTTAAATAAAAGGAATTGCCATGGGAATTTCTTAATAGAGAGCTGTTTAATGTGTAGAGTAATTACAGCAGACTTGTGAAAGTACCAGATATCAGTCCGTCGTATTCCAGAGCTGTGGTGACGAGACTGATTGCATGCACTCCTCTGTCCTACAGTCAATGTCAAATCAAGCCCACATTTCACAGGGCATAGCTATAAAAACTTCTGAATTATTTCACTTACAGTCAAGGTCAGTGACCTCTCTGAATTCTGCCATATGTAGTCCAGTCAGTTTAGCCAAATATGGGCACAACCCAACCAAAATTGCAATGGAAATGAATTCATCTGATTCACTCATAAAACTTATCCCATAATAATCAAAACTGGAGTGGCAGAATGGTTAAATTTTACTCAAAGGTCATTGGGGTTGAGGCCCTTCTGTCACACTTACAAGGGATTTAAGTTGTGTCAGGATGCATATCAGATGAAAGCTCTCTTCAAAAGCTAAAATACCCGTGAAGGTCCGGGTTAGAATATTGATCTTCAGTAACCCATGCTTGTCGTAGGAGGTGACTAACGGGATCGGATGGTCAGGCTCGCTGACTTGGCCGACACATGTCATCCGTTCCCAATTGCGCAGATCGATGCTCATCCTGTTGATCATTGGATTGTCTGGTCCAGACTCGATTATTTACCGACCGCCGCCATAATGCTGGAATATTGCTGAGTGTGACATAAAACAAAGCTCACTCACTCACTCAAAAGCTAAAAACAAATGTAACCATAGAGTGACTTGGTATTTGATAGGTTTGGCTAATACTAACATTTTCGTGTCACAAGTAGTAAAGAGGGTGACATTGTAGATGACCTAGGTACCCAAACAAGGTTAAATTGTCAGAAAACTGCAGGATTTCTTTCACTCAGTGTCAAGCACAGTGACATCATAGAATTTTGCCACATGGAACTTTCATTTTAATGTCTGCATCATGCCATTTATCCTAGGGGCAGGGAAGGTGGACAGTCACTTTGTCTGCTTGTCTGCATAATGCACAGCCTCCTCTAAATAGATGTATATATTGGGGGGAAATGCTTTATTTCAGTAGCTTAAAATTGGAATCTCAGTCATCGGTCGGGAAGAGGAGCACTCCTTTCAGACATTCCTTTGTCATTTAATGCTAACTTGTCTTAGCTAAAACCAGTATTATTCAGCACACTTCCACCAGTAAATCATCACAATGATCAGGAACATAATTACAGATTATGTAGTTGTAAATGGCTCTGCCACTATGAACACTTATTTTGGAAGCCATTGACAGTGAAAGAGTAAATAAAGTAGGTCAGCCATGTGAAAGTTCAGGTCAGATATATTGTCATTCTGAATATGTATTATTCTTACTGGGGAGGTGTTTCATATAGTCTTGTCCATCAATACAACCTTAACAGTTAGACTGTATTCAAAGATCAAAATACTGTAAGTTTATCTCCTGAGTGTGTTGGCTCACAGTCAATAGTTTAGGTTAACACCTCAATATATATATAACGCCACTCAATATAAAAATGAGTTTTTATCCTTTGAATAGTGAAAGTGTTTTAGTTAATCTGAATCAACATGTATTCCCTGTTGTTCTGCTTGGTAACATGTATCACAATAGCAGGTGGATGTTGTAGCACTTACAGATTACACACAGCTGCAGGGAAAGGGTCTTACTAACCCTTCTAGCTACACTTGTGTCCATACAGTCTGTACTCTAGGCATACTAACTGGTGGCATGGCTTGTAGTACTTGTTTTAGTTTTTGTTAAATGAATGTGCTTTCGTTCTTAAAAATTGGTCTGATTTGCTGTGTAAAGGCTAGTTCAGTTGCAGCCTTTGGTGGAAGATGCATGTTTCTATTTCTGTGTTGGGTCTTCCAAAGGGGCATCCATGTTGCCTGTGTCATAGTACTGTAAACAAGTATTGTGTTGTGTTTATAGCAGTCTGTGCAAAAAATGTTTGAGTCTACAAGCCTAAAAATTGGCTTTTTCAACATGTGTTAGTGTTAATACCCACTGTTTTCAGCAGTGTTTACCTGACCAAACATACTGTGACTTTACTTGACTCTCCTGACTAGTGGCTTAAATCACAGACTCAAGTATTGTATCATGCAGTTATCCTACAAATTCAAATAAAGCCCTCAGAGTTTGTCCTTCAAAGAGACTGTTGCAAATCCTTGAACAGGTGGTTCAAGTACAAGCAGTAGTGGTTTAAGAACTTGATTATGTCCCCACTAGTGGTAGTACCTCTCTGTGTAACTGTATAACTGGTGCCTGTGTTTCAGATGCAGCCTACAGCCTCATCCAGAAGAAAGGACAACTGTTTGCTCTCAACAGTAACAACGCCTTGCTACAGTTCGTTCTCAGCGTGAGTTCTTCAGCTTCAAGAGTGCTGACTTCAGTACATAAACATGATTCATAGGTTTCACAATGAGTGAAAACATGTTATATTTCTTTATAAAACAGGGATAAACGATTGACTCTATGAATTACCCCACAGTGTTTTATACTACCAACAAAATAATACCCCTTCATATATGCACAGCACTTTATGCTCCTGCTCACCGAAGTGGAAGTGTGTGGAACTCACAGTCACTGATGCAGTTGCACTCAGCACACTCTTAAACATGTATCGAAGACATTATTTCAGTGAAGTGACAAAATGGTGAATTGTGGGTATAAGAAAGGGTCTGCTCCAGTCAGCAGTAGAAAATTATGTACAATAACAAAGAGGCAGATTTAAATATCTATTGTTAAAATTCAGGTCTGTGCTGCCCACCTTAACACAAGATGTTGTGTGATGGGTGTGGCCCTATCACCTTACCATGGGTTGCAAACACTAGGGATAGGTTGTGTGGCAATGGCATTACGCCATGTTTACAGAGGAATCAAGGTTTGGCGTCAGATTCACAGATGCCTGCCAAGTGTCATGACATCTCCCTAGTAGAGCTGATTAGAGCATACCCCGGGTATATGGGATGTTCTCATACAGAGAGTGTATACCCTAGACAAAGCATACACGCTCAAGGTGGCAGCTCTTCGGGTGGAATGGTGACCAATCCCAAGGGCAACCATACCATACCATCTAGTTGTCTAAATATATTGCCAAACAAGGTGGGCACACCAGATAGTGATCTATATACCTGAAATTGATTTTAAAGACATGTATCATCATCATCTCACATATATTTTGTCAGTAGTATATTTTGCGATAGCCAGGTTTGAACTGACTGTAGGTGGAATAGGAATTTGTCAGATTCAGAAAAGGAAACAGTAATATGACTGAGGGTTCTGTGAATTAAGTGGGTGTATGGTAAAGCTATTTCTTTGGAGCAGGGTAAACAGAAGTTGTAGCTCTCAGACTCGGGGACATACAAAGTATCACCAAAGTATGTGTAACATTATTGACAAGAATTTTGAATAAAAATTTAACTAGATGACAAACAGGATTAGCTTGCATAATTCAACACACACATGTTGATCTTCTGTTTCTGATGATGGATCATGATGACACGTAGGTAACTTGGTGATATGGTTTATGCAGTTCTTCAGTAGAGACAGTTTTCTCAATCTGGGTATCAAAAGTGAGAATGTTATTATTTAGATACAGTTTCAGCTATGTATGGATAGCACAAGATGTTGGTAAAGAGAAATGTTTTCTAGAGAATTTCAAACAGCGTTGTAAAGACATTTATTATCAAGAGTAGCATCAATATATAGCTTTTTCCGAATCCTTGACGTTCTATTCAACCATAAAGACTGATTATTTTCTTGAAAAATATCTTGTAACTATATAACTTCAAAAGATTTACGGAGATGTTTGAAAAAACTTCGTTGTAATGTACATGATTTTAATGTTAATTCATACTGATACTCCAAAAACTATGAAACTGCATTTTGTAGTTCCTGTGTGACTGAACTAGAAGATGAATTCCATATTACGTTAGTATGCCCTCTTTATAATGAGTATCGTGCTAAATATTTAACTGAATACTGTCGTAATTACCCTCATGTTCACATGTTTATTGAATTGATGAGAAGAAGCGATAAGAATAGACTATTGAGACTTTGTATCTTTCGTAAATAAGTGTTTACTTTGATCGAAACAAAAATCTCTGTGAACACATAATGGTATCAATTGTAATAAGATCTACATTCTCAGTGTGGCGCATATGCATGTCTTTACCATACTGTTTTACACATGTTGTACTGTTGGCCTCATGGCCATATATACGTAATAAAGGATGATGAGTTTTCTCAATCTCAGTGAAAGCAACAGTTAGCCATCCCACGTGTGATAAGCTGTTTTATACATCCAAAAGGATATTGTCAGCAACCAATGATCAACAACAAATGAACATGCTCTTCAGATAGTGTATAATATTCTTTCTTCCTCAGTGAATGTTCATCTGTAGATTTTTGTGAAATACTTAATTACAATATTTCAACGAGTTAGATAGTACTTATTTTTGTGTTTAGGGCACACCCCAGGTTACTGAGTACTTTGTGGACTCGAAGCGTGACGTGGACCAGCATCTAAAGAAAACGTGTGAAGATTTCATCCATCATGTCTCCGAGACATTCACAGGACCTCTTCAGACATTCCTGTCTAGGGTGAGACCATCTATCAACATTGCATCTTGCCATGATTACTGTGATTCTGTAATTGTGACTCTTTAGTGGTATGATATGATTATGTTAAAATATGAGTCATAACAGTAATTGCACCAATATTAGCATGTTAGATCTGTGTGCTTCCTGTAGTTTACACATCATCAAACTGTTTCAGTATCCCCAAACCCCTGATCACTACATATACCACAACACCCATGACCACAGACTGGGCTGTAGGTGTTAGAAGCCATCTGTTACAGCTTGCAGTGTTCCGCTATGTCGTGTAGATGTTAGAAGCCATTTATTACAGCTTGCAGTGTTCCGCTATGTCCCGTAGGTGGTTGAAGCCATCAATTACAGCTTGCAGTGTTCCGCTATGTCCCATAGGTGGTTGAAGCCATTTATTACAGCTTGCAGTGTTCCGCTATGTCCCATAGGGTGGTTGAAGCCATCTATTACAGCTTGCAGTGTTCCCTATGTCTCGTAGGTGGTTGAAGCCATCTATTACAGCTTGCAGTGTTCCGTGATGTCCCATAGGTGTTAGAAGCCATCTATTACAGCTTGCAGTGTTCCCCTATGTCCTGTAGGTGGTTGAAGCCATCTATTACAGCTTGCAGTGTTCCCCTATGTCCTGTAGGTGTTAGAAGCCATCTATTACAGCTTGCAGTGTTCCCCTATGTCCTGTAGGTGGTTGAAGCCATCTATTACAGCTTGCAGTGTTCCCCTATGTCCTGTAGTGGTGTTAGAAGCCATCTATTATTACAGCTTGCAGTGTTCCCCTATGTCCTGTAGGTGGTAGAAGCCATCTATTACAGCTTGCAGTGTTCCCTATGTTCTGTAGGTGGTTTAGAAGCCATCTATTACAGCTTGCAGTGTTCCCCTATGTCCTGTAGGTGTTAGAAGCCATCTATTACAGCTTGCAGTGTTCCCCTATGTCCTGTAGGTGTTAGAAGCCATCTATTACAGCTTGCAGTGTTCCCCTATGTCCTGTAGGTGTTAGAAGCCATCTATTACAGCTTGCAGTGTTCCATCTATTACAGCTAGTGTTCCCCTATGTTCTGTAGGTGTTAGAAGCCATCTATTACAGCTTGCAGTGTTCCCTATGTCCTGTGTTCTGCTAGGTGTTAGGTGGTTGAAGCCATCTATTACAGCTTGCAGTGTTCCACTATGTCCTGTAGGTGTTCCATCTATTACAGCTTGCTGTAGGTAGTTAGAAGCCATCTATTACAGCTTGCAGTGTTCCACTATGTCCTGTAGGTGTTAGAAGCCATCTATTACAGCTTGCAGTGTTCCACTATGTCCATCTCTATTACAGCTTGCAGTGTTCCACTATGTCCTGTGGTTGAGGTGTTCCCCAAGCCATCCATATTACAGCTTGCCTGTAGTGTTCCATCTATTACAGCTTGCAGTGTTCCTATGTTAGAAGCCATCTATTTACAGCTTGCAGTGTTCCACTATGTTGTAGGTGTTAGAAGCCATCTATTACAGCTTGCAGTGTTCCCCTATGTCCTGTAGGTGTTAGAAGCCATCTATTACAGCTTGCAGTGTTCCCCTATGTCCTGTAGGTGTTAGAAGCCATCTATTACAGCTTGCAGTGTTCCCCTATGTCCTGTAGGTGTTAGAAGCCATCTATTACAGCTTGCAGTGTTCCCCAGCTATGTCCTGTAGGTGTTAGAAGCCATCTATTACAGCTTGCAGTGTTCCACTATGTCCTGTAGGTGTTAGAAGCCATTATTACAGCTTGCAGTGTTCCCCTATGTCCTGTAGGTGTTGAAGCCATCTATTACAGCTTGCAGTGTTCCCCTATGTCCTGTAGGTGTTTGAAGCCATCTATTACAGCTTGCAGTGTTCCCCTATGTCCTGTAGGTGTTAGAAGCCATCTATTACAGCTTGCAGTGTTCCCCTATGTCCTGTAGGTGGTTGAAGCCATCTATTACAGCTTGCAGTGTTCCCTATGTCCTGTAGGTGGTTGAAGCCATCTATTACAGCTTGCAGTGTTCCGCTATGTCCTGTAGGTGGTTGAAGCCATCTATTACAGCTTGCAGTGTTCCACTATGTCCTGTAGGTGTTAGAAGCCATCTATTACAGCTTGCAGTGTTCCGCTATGTTCTGTAGGTGTTAGAAGCCATCTATTACAGCTTGCAGTGTTCCCCTATGTCCTGTAGGTGTTAGAAGCCATCTATTACAGCTTGCAGTGTTCCACTATGTCCTGCAGATACTTCATTACAACTTGCTGTGTTGCAGGCTGAGGTGATTGTGAAGATGAAGCAGGAGCAAGTGGGACAGAATGTGAAACTGAGGCAACAGCCTTTTGCTACCCCAGAAAAGGTTCATGATGTTGTGGCAGAGACATACAAGAATGTGAAGACCAAACTGCCCTCTGTCCATCGCAGCATGTCCCTGTATCTGGCCAACAGGGACACTGAGTCCATCCTGTTTAGGCCCATTAAGGTAACACTAGCTATGTCAAGGAAATATAGGCAGCAATTGTATCAGTTCACTTAATCAAAATTTTGTCAAGCAATTCAGGATTACTTTGATACCAGCAGTACCAAGATAAAGAATATGTAGCTGGCAGTTATGCAGACCCTAAGTTCATTGTCCACATTTCAGGTGAATGTACAACAGAGCTTTCAGCAGCTCACCCAGCTCCTCACAGACAACTACACAGAGGAGGACATACAGATCATTGCCTGTCCAAGTGCAGAACAGGTGAGTTTGCTGGGCGACCGTGACAGTGTTTGGCAGCTTGACTCTTGAGAGTTTCTAGGACATCAGTCCAGTTCCACATGGATACCCGTTGGGAGAAGTCATGTAACCACTAACCTTCTAGCGCCTCACAGGCAGCTTGAGTTATCCGGGGTAATAATAATCAGATTGTTTGGTTGCTTCAAGCATGCATTGTGCTGTCATTTACTGTCAAAGTGCCAAACAGGTGAGTTGGACATAGATCATTTACTGTCAAAGTGCCAAACAGGTGAGTTGGACATACAGATCATTTACTGTCAAAGTGCCAAACAGGTGAGTTGGACATAGATCATTTACTGTCAAAGTGCCAAACAGGTGAGTTGGACATAGATCATTTACTGTCAAAGTGCCAAACAGGTGAGTTGGACATACAGATCATTTACTGTCAAAGTGCCAAACAGGTGAGTTGGACATACAGATCATTTACTGTCAAAGTGCCAAACAGGTGAGTTGGACATACAGATCATTTACTGTCAAAGTGCCAAACAGGTGAGTTGGACATATAGATCATTTACTGTCAAAGTGCCAAACAGGTGAGATCATTTACTGGACATACAGATCATTTACTGTCAAAGTGCCAAACAGGTGAGTTGGACATACAGATCATTTACTGTCAAAGTGCCAAACAGGTGAGTTGGACATACAGATCATTTACTGTCAAAGTGCCAAACAGGTGAGTTGGACATACAGATCATTTACTGTCAAAGTGCCAAACAGGTGAGTTGGACATAGATCATTTACTGTCAAAGTGCCAAACAGGTGAGTTGGACATAGATCATTTACTGTCAAAGTGCCAAACAGGTGAGTTGGACATAGATCATTTACTGTCAAAGTGCCAAACAGGTGAGTTGGACATACAGATCATTTACTGTCAAAGTGCCAAACAGGTGAGTTGGACATATCATTTATCATTTACTGTCAAAGTGCCAAACAGGTGAGTTGGACATAGATCATTTACTGTCAAAGTGCCAAACAGGTGAGTTGGACATAGATCATTTACTGTCAAAGTGCCAAACAGGTGAGTTGGACATAGATCATTTACTGTCAAAGTGCCAAACAGGTGAGTTGGACATACAGATCATTTACTGTCAAAGTGCCAAACAGGTGAGTTGGACATAGATCATTTACTGTCAAAGTGCCAAACAGGTGAGTTGGACATACAGATCATTTACTGTCAAAGTGCCAAACAGGTGAGTTGGACATACAGATCATTTACTGTCAAAGTGCCAAACAGGTGAGTTGGACATAGATCATTTACTGTCAAAGTGCCAAACAGGTGAGTTGGACATACAGATCATTTACTGTCAAAGTGTCAAAGTGCCAAACAGGTGAGTTGGACATAGATCATTTACTGTCAAAGTGCCAAACAGGTGAGTTGGACATAGATCATTTTACTGTCAAAGTGCCAAACAGGTGAGTTGGACATAGATCATTTTGGACTGTCAAAGTGCCAAACAGGTGAGTTGGACATACAGATCATTTACTGTCAGTTGAGTTGGACATAGATCATTTACTGTCAAAGTGCCAAACAGGTGAGTTGGACACAGATCATTTACTGTCAAAGTGCCAAACAGGTGAGTTGGACATAGATCATTTACTGTCAAAGTGCCAATTTACTGTCAGGTGAGTTGGACATACAGATCATTTACTGTCAAAGTGCCAAACAGGTGAGTTGGACATACAGATCATTTACTGTCAAAGTGCCAAACAGGTGAGTTGGACATAGATCATTTACTGTCAAAGTGCCAAACAGGTGAGTTGGACATATAGATCATTTACTGTCAAAGTGCCAAACAGGTGAGTTGGACATACAGACTGTCAAAGTTACTGTCAAAGTGCCAAACAGGTGAGTTGGACATAGATCATTTACTGTCAAAGTGCCAAACAGGTGAGTTGGACATACAGATCATTTACTGTCAAAGTGCCAAACAGGTGAGTTGGACATAGATCATTTACTGTCAAAGTGCCAAACAGGTGAGTTGGACATACAGATCATTTACTGTCAAAGTGCCAAACAGGTGAGTTGGACATAGATCATTTACTGTCAAAGTGCCAAACAGGTGAGTTGGACATAGATCATTTACTGTCAAAGTGCCAAACAGGTGAGTTGGACATAGATCATTTACTGTCAAAGTGCCAAACAGGTGAGTTGGACATAGATCATTTACTGTCAAAGTGCCAAACAGGTGAGTTGGACATACAGATCATTTACTGTCAAAGTGCCAAACAGGTGAGTTGGACATACAGATCATTTACTGTCAAAGTGCCAAACAGGTGAGTTGGACATATAGATCATTGTCCTAGTGCAGCACTGGTGAGTGGGATGTACATTACAGAAACACGCTATCATGCCCCAACAGTACTGGCACATTTTGCAAATAATACAGTTGCAGACAATTATATAATTGCATTCATCATCAGTATGCTTTTTTTGTAATGGATGGTAATTTTGGTTCCAGGTGAATCTGCTGCTTTCAACAGGTGCAAAGTGATACAAAGGAGATCATAAACATTGGACTTAATTTAGGGGTAGTGTGTAAATGAGGATTCACCAAGACAGATGTGATCTAAAACTGTGATCAAGGGGAGATTTCTCCATTAACTGAACAACCTTGAACATCACAAGTGTGTTAAACCATCAGTATGTTCACTCAGTGAGGAAGCCTGTGGGCAGCTGGTGTACAGTAATACTGTGGGAGGCTTCTGGATGGGACACCCTGACAGACAGCAGGAGCCTCACACACAGCTTGCTTCTTGTGGGACATCAGCAGCAGATTGTTGTATCAATACTGTTTCAGGCGGAGATACTGCTGCCTTGGGAAGCAGTTTATGTGGTATTATAGGTGATATATTTACTTTGGATGTTACACATGTTCTTGTGATCATTTATGTGTGGGAGGTTCATATTTGCTTCTTCAATATTAGGACACTATCATGTGTTTACCCATTCACAGCAGTATTTCAGGCTAACTGCTTCTGATGGATGTGAGAATCATCGCCTCTGCAAGGTTATTGTTGCGAAAGTTGTGTCAATAGTGGCTCTGGTAGCAAAGGTTTCTGGAGCAGGGAATATCTGGCCAGGAGAACCTGCATTCACCTACATCATTAGATGAATCACTTTACCAAGACCGACTTGCATAGGAGACCATGGTCCATCAAGGCTGTCGTAGGTTTTTGTTCACGAAAGCCAGTGATCTCCACCATGGCAGCCCTGCACTGGATCACTTAGTTCAACCTTCTGCCTTTGCTTCTGTGGAGTGCATCATCAACACTGGAGGAATATCTATTGTTATTGTGTATTATTGTTGTCAAGAGATTTTTTTAACTCATATTTTTATACTTGTTATGTATATATGTAATATATGGGGTAAAACAAATAAATCAGAAGAAAAGGTAGAGTACTGTTTCTATTGTATTTGGATGGTTTTATGTTATCATATAATAGTTCAATGATTGAGATAAAATGTGAAACCTTGTTAGTCTTGAAGGTTCATACTGTTGGTCCTTTCAAAAGTTGACAGTTTCAGTTTTTCCTTCTGATATGTCTGCCAATAGATTAATATTCCAAGCAGCACCATACTCATAATAGGACTCAAAATACAAGCTTTTTCAGAATGGTTATCAATAATGTCCGCAAAAACATGGGAGAACATTTTTATTTACAAAATACATTAGCAATACAATACAGTTTTAGCTTTGTTGTGTCAAATTTAGATGTTTTCAGAAATCTCCATAAAATAAAACATAATGTCTATCATATGCAAATGTTTCATAGTTGATTCAGGCAAAAGGGTTGCTGTAAATGGTTCACATTGATATTATTACATATAAACATTACCAAAACCAGTCAAATATAAAATTTAAGCTTACCATTTCTGCAAACATCATTGATTGCAACATGTGATAAGCAGTAAAAAATGTGCAGCTGAGGACTACTGTGAGAAGGCATGTAAATGAACAATGACATAAGCATGGGGTGGAAGAAGTCTCAAATGATGGTATGGTTTCATAAAATGTCCAATCACATTAATAATATTATGGACCATTACAAACGTCAAGATTTGGGCTCTAAACCCAGTGGAAGAGTATCACAGACATTAGCTCCAGGTCACATGTGTACTAGATCACCAGCGATGTTGATCTGTACACAGTACTGTAGCTAGGCAGCACCACTGCATCAACTCTGAAGGTGGGACATGTATGACAAGCATGTGCTGATGACTGGGTCACCTGTACTGGTTGTAATGCTCGCTCCGCCGGCTTCTCAGTTCATCCAAGTCCGGGTACAATCCTGAAACATGGTGGATTAATACAACATTGTTCAGGAGGAATATGTATGCATTTAGTCACTTGAATTTGAAACACAGTGCCCTATTAACTGTTTATAACATCTGTCATAATAATTAAGCATTGACATGAATACAACTTGAAACAGTGGATGAATTATGAGCCTTATGCTTGTCCTGTTGCATACATATCTCATTAACATCATGGAAGCACATAACATGTAAAATTGTACATATTCATACAAAAAGATCTTTTCTTTGACAAGAGTTATCCCACCCATGTCTATAATTGCTACCAGGTAATATATAGAGCTGTGTGTTGGTTAAGTCACCAAGAAACTGGAGAGCACAATATGACCTTGCTCCTAGTTTATCATGTATTTGTGTGCTTGAATCAACCTGTGCTTTCAAACAAGCAAGAGACAAAGGTTTTATGCCGTACTGTTGGACTGGCCTGCAGTCTGCTGTTGTCGCAAGCTCTCCTCTCGAGCTCGTGCATATTGTTCCTCTTCACTCATCCCTCCTGTGTATGCCGAGTGGTCTGGGTAACTGGGCTGACCATACTGTTGCCGTGGAGACGACCATGACCTTCCTGTTGTGTATCCTGCTGACCGATACCCACTGCTCCTGGCAGTGTATGTGTAGGATGGACCTGCAGTGACAGGTAGAGGCTACTCACAAACCGTGTCCACTTTAATTCAAATAGAAGCCATATTTAAAACAGAATAAATACACATCATATCTTGAAATACAGGATCAGGATACAAAAGGGAAGTTTGGAAACAAGATAATTGAGGCAGACATTGTTTTCTCTAAGCACAGACTTGAGGGATCACAGAAAGCAGTGTTAACTGTATATGTTTTCTGTGGCGTGAGGTAATTGACACAGTCTGTCCTTGTTGGAGTAAGGACCACTTACCGGGGGGAACGAAACCATCCATGATTGTCTTGAGGGGTCCTTTGATGTACAGCAGCCCCACCACGATACCTGCCAGATGACCTGGAGGGAATGAACACAAATTACGTACACTGCATAGAACCAATATTTAGACACATATTGTGGCATAATGGACCAAAACATAAGTAATTACTAACAGTAAGATACTTCTAAAAAGGATATCTGATGAGCGTTTAACTTTTCAAGAGCTAGTCACTGACAACTGAAAAATACCTATATGTCTACCTGTAAATGAAGGACTTAGGAGGTCTCTGTTTGGAGCACTTGTACATGATGGAGACAGCAGAATACATGACCATACCATCAGACATCTTTAACTGAATGTTATATGATTTTGTTGAAATCATTACAATTCTTAGACGAAAGAAAACTAACAATCCACTGGCACATGTAGGGTCAGAAACCCAATTACAACCTGCCAAAAGTGAAAAGAACATAAATAGGATGGTCTAGTTCCCAGCATAGACTGGTAATGAAACAAAGTCCTTCTATTGCTTGTATTTGTGCATCTAGATCTTTTCATTAAGTTCCTACGATTATATCTGGCAAAAGACTCCATTGCTTTGACAACTGTCAATGCTACAGTGAACTATTCAGGCAATTCTCTTCCCCAATATGGAGTATATCCCATCCAGCATGAGTGTAGCAGTATTACCAGTGAAGGAGGCATTAGGTGTGACCATCTGTATGAGCACCAGCTCTGCCCAGTAGATGAAGCGTGAGGGCACGGGGATGATGCCCAGGGCATAGTGGAGACCGGGCGGGGTGTAGTGGGTAGTCAGCACCTTCAGGGCAAACAGAACACCTGCAGCACAAGGACACACTACACAGAGGCTTAAATAACAATTATCACTTTGAAGTTTAGTATGCTCTTGAAAAGTAGGGTAAAATAAACATCTAAATTTTTAAACTTATCCTATCTCACGACTTGCACCTCTCTCTCTTGCTTCGACTTTTAGTGGAACGACTGTAAACTTTTTTCCACAGGCCATTCGCCCGTGCGCTCCATGCTGCTCTCATTAATTAGCTTCCTAGTTGCCAATAAAGCTTGCAGCATGCTCCACTAATTGCCCACGTGACTACCTTGAATGATCATTCTCTTTCTTGTCGCACGACTGTGGGACGTGCTATATATTAGGGACATTATTTCACCCTAACATCATGGGGAAAGCAGATAATCAGTCAAGGAAAAGGAAAATTTTGTGCTCAATGCAAGGCCTACCTTCGTGTTTGCTCCCGGAGAATCGCCGACAGGGACAGGAAATCAACAGAATCTGATCCCACTCCCGCCAAGCGTATCAAGTTACAGCGACAGAAAATCGTACCTTCACGCAAGAGAGTGACGTCTGTGGTTCAAGAGGATTTTATGGACCCTTCATCAGATTCTTACTTATCTGAGGATGTTCGGCACCTATTACATACGCATCAATCACCTCCTTCCATAGCGTCAGATCACTGAGGGGTGGTTGCGATCGATAATTCATCGTTGCCTGTCCCATCTACACTACCAGGGGACCTTAGATCGACACTATCATCATCCAGATCATCGGTACATATCCCCCTCGACTGTCTCAGTTTGTTTGGAGCCTGGCCAACTGCGTTCAACCAGCCAACTGTTCCCCCACAGTTCATGGAACCGGACAGAGCTGGCTACAACAGCGTCGCCGGGGGACGTTCATCATGAATCAACGCTTCAGGTTTTGTCACCTAATTGCCGATCCAGATCACCACATCATTCTAGATCACCAAAACGATCTAGATCACCATCACAAACCCAATCTAGATCACCGTGCCGATCAAGATCACCGGATCGATCCAGATCACAGTCACGATCCCAAGTACAACTACGATCCACATCACCTGATCAATCCAGATCACCAAACAGATCCAGATCACCAAACGGGTCCAGATCACAACTTCTAATCAGATCACCGGACCGATCCAGATCACAACATCGAAATAGATCATCGGACCGATCCAGATCACTGAATGGATCCAGATCACAACTTCGAATCAGATCACCGGACCGATCTAGGTCACCTAACCAATCCAGATCACAACATCGAAGTACATCGAAGTAGATCCCCAGACCAATCCAGATCACAACATCAAAGTAGATCACCTAACTGATCCATATCACCAAATCAAGCCAGATCGTAACTGCAAACCAGATCACCTGTTCGATACAGATCACCTTATAGATCCAGATCACGATCACAGTTTCCAGATCATCATTACAAATCCAGATCATCTTACCAACCCAGGTCACCTATACGATCAAGATCACCTTACAGAGCCATTGACCAATCGGGATCACAGTACAGATCCACATCTCATGGCCGAACCTATTCAGATGGTCGAACCAGAGCTCCAATCAGAACCAGATCACCAACTAGAACTACAGCGACCCGGACTAGTTCTTCATATCATACCGGATCACCTAGCCATACTAGGGAATCCAGATCACCGGCTTACCACCTACTTCAGTACTTACGTCGAAATCTCGATACAGTTCCTCTGACCGACGTTCGGGTGATCATTGCTCTGATACCACTAATAGGCCTACAGTCTCTTACGATGTTCTGTCTACACGCTCTAAGAATCCTTCGACTCACTCTAGGATCATCATTTTTGTTTAAAGTGAAATTCATCGGTACGTTTTCACTGCAAACAGATTAGTCACGTGGGCAATTAGTGGAGCATGCTGCAAGCTTTATTAGGAACTAGGAAGCTAATTAAGGCGAGCAGCATGGAGTGCACGGGCGAATGGACAAGGAGGCCTATGGAAAAAAGTTTACAGTCATTCCACTAAAAGTCGAAGCAAGAGAGAGAGAGGTGCAAGTCGTGAGATAGGATAAGTATATAAATATACAATTTATATTAAAATTTCCAAACACTTCAAGTATGCTTTTACAACAAGAGCTGTAACAAAATTAACATCTGTTTAAATGTACTACCAAACATACCTTGACATCTGCACCACAGTGTACTCTTACCCTTGAAGTCTCTTCCATTAATGTTAGTTATCACCAGATCACTGGCAAGTACATACATCAGTAATACATCTACATGAACATGTATAACATGCTGGTGATCCACTTTATTACCTGAGAATCCAACAGCACATGAAGTAGAATATGTGTGGTCCTCCATGGCGTTTTCCAGAAACATGTTTAATCCTACATAGGTGAGACTTGTTAACCCTGTAAACACTGCCACTAGATAGGCGAAGTAGACACTGCCAAACCGTTTCTCTAGAGTCAGCCCCTTCATCAACAGGGAGGACATATTGAAATACAGGTGCATGTCATCGGCATGAAAAAAGGTCCCCAGAATCAACCTTTTCCACTGCTTGTGATAGTACACCAAATACGTGCTCATGCACACTGCTGTAGCCGAAGGAAAGTACTGAGGAACAAAGTTGAGGAATATGGCAGTCTGTGCTGCTATGAGGGCGAGAGTGACAGGGGGGATTCTGTGAACCCCAACATTCATCATCTGCCCGGCCAGGAGCATGACTCCAAGCCCGCCCCGGCGATTGCGGTTATACATCCTGGAAAAGTGGCTCCAACAGCTGTCCAAGTTGTGGTTTTTCTTGCTATCTTTCAGTCAAAATGTCATCGCCCTCTTCAAAACCTGGGGATCGAAATCATGCATCATACTTCAGTGGAATCTCTATACTCAGAAACAATATACTAACGAGTGACGTTTGGCTAAATCTGTAAATTATGTTTTCAATGAATGTTTCTCACCAGCTGGAACACTCTGAAACCACGTTGACAGAACACGCTCAAAGTTGTCAGTATACCTACGAACAACGTAGAATGGCCTACAGACAATCTACAGATGCAATAGTCGTCAGTTGTTTCAAAGTTAGTTACATACTCAAGCGCCAACCATCTCTACACACGTGGACATACCCGCCTTCGTACGGTACACATCTGATTCATAACATCCGGTACATTTATAATCCGGAGAAAAATATTTTAGTACCAACATGATTCAACATTCATACAAATGCTCATTTTTTTAATTTACAAATTCGTTTCTCTCACCAAGTTTGAGCATCTTATTAAATTAACAAAAAAAGTAATAATTAAGTATTTCTTTTGTAAGCTTGAAAGTACTTCATTTACAGATTGTTCCGGTTTCAGAGTCCGGGTATGTGTTGGTTTGTTATTACCAAGAGAACAAGACGTGTTCCGTTACACATTTCTGTTTGCGATCGAGTCTATGACAGCTAAGTGTTATCATACATTTTGTTCGGTAAGAAACCAGTTGAACTTAGATTTGTATCGTGCACAGTGATGACAGAGTCATCTGACCACAATCATACATGATAGAATGAAGAATGTGAGCCCGGCTGGTTAATAAAATGGGACCAGGTCAAAACGGTTTCATGTCAAATTGGCCTCCCAAGGTGAAGATAAAATGGCAGAGAACAAGTGAAACTGCCTAAACCAATAATGAAAACATTCACACAATTTTGGCTGCCAAACAGTTATCGCAGTATTTTAGCGGTATTTACAATATTACACCACAGATCATTAAATTAATGAAACGAAATTAATTATGATACTTAATTAGCTATTCACCGATGTATCCAGCCCATTTACTGACACCGTATTTTATATATATATAGATATAAACGCAGCAGAAGGGAATCATGCAGTACAATTAGGTGTTTTCTCACAGCTAACTGTAACTAGTGTTGAGTATGGGAAACCAAATCCACTATCGATTATCGGAGGACTTGTGGTGAACGATTATCGATTATAATCGTTATATATACATTTTTTATGTAATCACCAATTTTAAGGGTTTTTCTTTCTAATTAATGTTTTTTATAACTAATACTGTCATGCAATAGATGTAAAATGTATTCATAGACAGGTTACAGTAACGTTTACCGTAGTGACGAATACAAAACTATGAATACAAGGTGCATAGCTTTACACTGTTGGGCGCATATTTGTTCGTGAATATTCATCAAATTTAATGGTTAGTTTACTTAATTCAAGTGTGTTATACTAAAACAGCAAAATTCTGATTAATCAAAAATATGTTTTTTTACAATCAATCATTATATTTAATCCTTCTTTCGATCGATTTTCGATTATTTTTTATCATCAGAACACCACTAATTGTAACGGTTCTTGCCATTTCAGAATTTCTCATGTCATTTGTGAAATAATATATATTTATATCATAGTGTAACCTCAAATAATTGATTGTGTGACAAGTTGAGTGTTAGATACATGACAATGTTTTATGGATATCAACTTCTTTTTTCTTTTCTTAATACGTTTCAGAGCTAATTCTTGCTCCTTCATCCTGTGAATGTTATTCATAAAACATGTCATGTATCCACTTTAGTCCAACTTCTAAATGCCTTTCTCAAACATTCAAGTTGAGTGATTTTTTCAGCGCCTTGTCACTACTCTGTAATGGCCTCTCTCCGCTTTCCTCGTCTTGTCACTACTCTGTGATATCCTCTCTCCGCTTTCCTCGTCTTGTCACTACTCTGTGATGGCCTCTCCGCTTTCTCGCCTTGTCACTATTCTGTGATGTCCTCTCTGCTCTTTCCTCACTGTGTCACTATTCTGTGATGGCCTCTCTGCTCTTTCCTCTAGCTGTGTCACTATTCTGTGATGGCCTCTCTGCTCTTTCCTCGCTGTGTCACTATTCTGTGATGGCCTCTCTGCTCTTTCCTCGCTGTGTCACTATTCTGTGATGGCCTCTCTGCTCTTTCCTCACTGTGTGACTATTCTGTGATGTCCTCTCTCTGCTTTCCTCACTGTGTCACTATTCTGTGATGGCCTCTCTGCTCTTTCCTTGCTGTGTCACTATTCTGTGATGACCTCTCTGCTCTTTCCTCGCCCTGTGTCACTATTCTGTGATGGCCTCTCTGCTCTTTCCTTGCTGTGTCACTCCTCTTCCTTGCTGTGTCACTATTCTGTGATGGCCTCTCTGCTCTTTCCTTTCCTCACTTGTCACTATTCTGTGATGGCCTCTCTGCTCTTTCCTCTGCTGTGTCACTATTCTGTGATGGCCTCTCTGCTCTTTCCTTGCTGTGTCACTATATTCTGTGATGGCCTCTCTGCCCTTTTTCCTCACTGTGTCACTATATTCTGTAATGGCCTCTCTGCTCTTTCCTCGCTGTGTCACTATATTCTGTGATGGCCTCTCTGCTCTTTCCTTGCTGTGTCACTATATTCTGTGATGGCCTCTCTCCTCTTTCCTTGCCTTGTCACTATTCTACATGATGGAATCTCTGCTCTTTCCTCGCAGTGTCACTACTCTGTAATGGCCTCTCTCCGCTTTCCTCGTCTTGTCACTACTCTGTGATGGCCTCTCTGCTCTTTCCTTCACTATTCTGTGATGTCCTCTCTGCTGCTCTTTCCTCATGTGTCTGTGATGGCCTCTCTCCTCTTTCCTTGCCTTGTCACTATTCTACATGATGGAATCTCTGCTCTTTCCTCGCAGTGTCACTACTCTGTAATGGCCTCTCTCCGCTTTCCTCGTCTTGTCACTACTCTGTGATGGCCTCTCCGCTTTCTCGTCCTTGTCACTATTCTGTGATGTCCTCTCTGCTCTTTCCTTGTCACTATTCTGTGATGGCCTCTCTGCTCTTTCCTCACTGTGTCACTATTGTCCTCTGATGTCCTCTTCTGTGATGGCCTCTTTCCTCACTGTGTCACTATTCTGTGATGGCCTCTCTGCTTTTTCCTCGCTGTGTCACTATTCTGTGATGACCTCTCTGCTCTTTCCTGGCTGTGTCACTATTCTGTGATGGCCTCTCTGCTCTTTCCTTGCTGTGTCACTATTCTGTGATGGCCTCTCTCAACTTTCCTTGCCTTGTCACTATTCTGTGATGGCCTCTCTGCTCTTTCCTCACTGTGTCACTATTCTGTGATGGCCTCTGTGCTCTTTTCTAGCTTTGTCACTACTCACTGGTAACCTGTCACCACTTTCCGCTTTCCTCTCAACTCTTCAATCCTTTTTCAGTCAGCACTTTTCTGCTTACCACTCAAATCTGCGATAACAAAGCCACTTATACAGAACTGGACTCCACACTGCATACGACATAATGGACATTATTACCCTGGATAACCCAAGCCTCTGAAGCACTAGAAGGTTCATAGTAATATGACTTATCCCACAGGGTAGCCATTTTCTGCTGGGTGAACAGAGGCAATTTCAGCTGCCTTAGGTTAGACCACATGTATCACATGCGCTTTGTTGTGAAGCATGACAGAAGTCCAAGAAACTCTCAGGAGTCAAGCTACCAAACATGGTCACCCATCCAAGGACTCCGTGACCAACGTTGCATAAATATGTCTCTTTGATGCAGGCGCTCAAAAATATGAAACATTTCAATAATTATTACAAAATTTTATACCAGCCTTTAACTTGGGGCAAAAAGGCAATTAATGTCAAGAAGTGCAAACGTGAACTACCAAGATGGTTGCTTGTATATGTAACTAAATGCTAATCTCATGTTGTTGTAGACTATTTGTATAACACAAAAACCATGTGTGTGAAAAGGTTCACGTTTCACATTTAAACACTTGTCTTTTCACAGGTTACATCATTACATATGAAGTATGTTTGCCCAGAACATTTAAATCATACTCAGTCCAAAAATATCACCATTCCATTCAAATTAGCAAGAAACTGTCAGTAGTAGTTAATTAGGGAATTCTATGTACAGGGTATTTTCCTTACTATAGATTTCAGAAACATTTTAGAAAATCAGCCAAAATGTATTGTTTGAACAAGGATTACACCATATTTAGTTATTTGCTGTGTTTCAGCTTTCCAAATGTTTCTGCTATGTCTGCACAAAACCTGATGAATGGCTATCATGTCAATGTTGGGTGTTATGCTAACCTGTTCAAGCTGACAGTAGAGGCTTGAGTTCTGATACAGTTGGAGGATGCAATATTTGGAAAAGGAAGGATGTATTTTGTGATTTCAAGCTGACATGCCTGACAAAGCACTAAGAAGAGATATCAGTAATGAACTGCTTGAAATTATTGTGTTCTGACATGATAATCAGGTCACTCATATGCTTCCAAATGGAGAATATACATCCCTGCCACCTCCTCTGGATCTACATAAGTTTTATCCACACAGCCCCATGTCCTTGACCCACAGAGGCATGTCATGTGAGTCTACAGCAGCAGGCAGCAGTGAGTGGAGCAGCCCACCCAGCATCGGTTTGGGATTCGTGGATGCAGTCAACAAGGATGACCATGTTCGAGTGCAGGAAGCCATTGAGGAAGGTCTAGATGTTGTCGCGTGGAGAGACAGTGAAGGCCATTCAGCCATTGTCCTGGCATGTCAGTCAAATGCAGGATGTGTTCTCAGCCTCCTCATATCTGCAGGATGTTCCCTTCAGGAAGAAGGTGAGAGTCTTCTGGATGTTCAGTTCAGAAAGAAGGTGAGTGTGTGGTGGATGTTCAGTCCAGGAAGGAGGTGAGAGAGTGGTGGATGTTCACTACAGGAAGGTGAGTGTGTGATGGATGTTCAGTACAGTAAGGAGGTGAGTGTGTGGTGGATGTTCAGTACAGGAAGGAGGTGAGTGTGTGGTGGATGTTCAGTACAGGAAGGAGGTGAGTGTGTGGTGGATGTTCAGTACAGGAAGGAGGTGAGTGTGTGGTGGATGTTCAGTACAGTAAGGAGGAGGTGAGTGTGTGGTGGATGTTCAGTACAGGGGAGGAGGTGAGTGTGTGGTGGATGTTCAGTACAGGAGGAGGTGAGTGTGTGGTGGATGTTCAGTACAGGAAGGAGGTGAGTGTGTGGTGGATGTTCAGTACAGGAAGGAAGGTGTGTGGTGTGATGTGTGGTGGATGTTCAGTACATGTTCAGTAAGGAGGAGAGTGAGTGTGTGGTGGATGTTCAGTACAGGAAGGAGGTGAGTGTGAGTGTTCAGTACAGTAAGGAGGTGGTGTGGTGGATGTTCAGTA